CAATAGCATATGTTAATCGATGTATAATAGGTTCTTTTAACTGCACTTTATACACTCCATAATCCGCGCTGCGCTATATGCACAATCCAGAACAACATAACAATATTTTTAACGTAATTCTGTACCGACTAAGAGTTTATTACTTCAGAAATCGTATAAAATAATAACACGACTGACACCGATAAAAAAGGGAAAAAAATTCTATCTGTATTTTATTTTTGTGATTGATAAGCCGAGAGACTTCTGAAAGATAACTCGCGTATAAAAAAAAAACGAAAACGAATTCACTGAATATTTTGTTAGCACGTCTGCTCGCGAAGGTGAAAATTGTCTTTGTTCAATCCGTATGTAAAAGAAAACCAGTAAATTGCTACGTTGTCTTGCTTAAATATTAATTGTTATCTGCCAAGGTGTTCTGGTTATATTACATATTTATTGATTATTATCATTATTATTATATGATTATTTTATTATGATAATTATTTTTATTATTTTTTGCTGACGTAAGCCATATGTCAAATGCATTTTAATATATTTTCACTTTTATATTCTACAGAAAATGTATACTATTTGGTTTAATAATTTTGCCAAGTGTTTTTCATTTACTTTTATAGTCAGTATCACTCCCATCCCTAATTTCCAGCCCTTCTAGTACACACTAAACTTTAATTTGTAAGAGAGCAGAGAATATCAAAACGACGCAGAAATTCATTCCAGCACGAAGGTAAGTGTGCCAGTAAAACTTTAGTCAGACGTCAGCAACGAAATTCTTGCGACGTTAAAAACATATTTTTAAAGAAATAAATTGTCTCCGTTATCTTGACCTCACGTAGACTGTTTCAACACATCCTTCGGTTTGATTTTTCTTTTTATTACTTCTTGACACAACCTCGTAGCGTTAAGTGCAAGAGCGCATATATATACGAATATCTAAATGAGATTTTTGCGGTAAAGCTTTCCGTAGCACGTAATTTTTTTTCAAATTTAATTCAAGCTTCAAGAAAGTTCATACACTACTGAAATTTTTGAGGAAGAAGAAGAGGAGAAAAAAAAAGATGCAAACGGAAAGTCTAAACGCTTTGATCTCGCTCGAAGTGCATGCTTTAAATGTTTTTTTCCGAATGCTCTATGTGTCTTTTCTACGTTGGCTTACATCACGCCTCAACGAACATCGTGTGCAATGTCTTTATTTGATGATTTCATGTTTCACGCGATATATATATATATATTTTTTTTTTGTTTTTCTTGTGCATAATATACTTTATATATGATTTGTCCTTTCTATTGGGTCAGTTTTGCTTTGCAGAGCAAAGTAGAAGGGCCAACATGTGGATGTGTTTCATTTTCTTTTGTCGTCTCGCTCGTTCCTTTTCTTTTTTATCTTTTTTTTTATATTTTATTTTATCCCCCTCCCAAATATACAAATAAGAACGCACTCCCGCCATATTCACACACACACGTAAAACCCTTAGTCCCTGTCTCCCTAGAACTGTTCTTTTCGGTATTATTCTTTATCTCGCATTCTTTTTCTCTCACTCTCGTCACGCAAACCAATCCCATCATCAAGCGACCAGCAGCAGCGAGAAGCAGCCAGCAACTCGGCCCCCATTTACACACTCTCATTGTGCGCGCTGTATAAAGCGCAACGCAAGCGCGCAGTTTCTTTCCCGCCCGAAGTTTAATGAGACACGACTCGAGAAATTGGATAAAGAGCAATTTTCTCAAAGAGAATGAATGAGCGAATCCAGCCGCGCGCTCACGGTGTCGAGAGGTGAAAAGTCGAGACCCCTGAGAAGAAGAAAAGACTTACCCGCGCACCACCGACGTCTTATAAAAATTTTTTTTCGCCTCCTTCTCGCGCGCCAAGAAGATAAAATGAAAAAAAAAAAGAAAAAAGCAGCAGCAGCAGCAGCAGCAGAGAGAGAGAGAGAGAGAGAGAGAGAGAGAGAGAGAGAGAGAGAGAGAGAGAGAGAGAGAGAGAGAGAGAGAGAAAAGAAATAAAGAAGCCTCGCTGAACGAACGACATTATCTATTCAAGTTCTTTAAGTGCACCGGCGATATTCTAAGTTCTTCCTTGACACTTCTTTTCCCTTTATCGCCTCTCGGCGTCTCGCCGTCCTCTTCCAACTCCCCGCCTCCTCCGTCTTTTTAATTAACGACGCTGGAAATGAGACGTTGCACCTTATTGACGTTTGATTCGTCTGAAAGACCGCGACATTTCTCCTTCCTTGCGCGAAATAAAACGCTCCTTTTTCCCAGAGAGAAGCCTCCCTCTTTTCTTTCTCTTTAGCCCATTGATTCGCGCGATTCTGGCGCGCGCATTGACAATGTCCGTTCTTTCTTTTCCCAAGAACTGCTCGTTCATTTGCGCGAGAGCGAGATTCATCGTAAGAGTTTTATTGAGAAGAAAGGAGGCGCGCTGAGAATTTTTATTTATTTTTTTCGGGGTGCATATGCACTACTTTTATGTCCGAGTTACATTCAGTCTTCTCTTGTCGCAGTTTCTTTATCTGCAGTACCCCGGCTGCAATTCCAATTCAATTTCCGACGAATCAAAAGAAGGGCGATCACGAAGAAGCGAGAAGCGGGGGCGGGGAAGCAACGAATGCACCATACTGTTATACCTACTCGGATTTTTCATTCGCCTCGTTCGACCGAAACTCCCCAATTTTAATGCCCATTCAAATGTGAATGAGCAGCCATTTCTTTCTTGTTGGCTTATTACTATGTGATTTCTTGTGGCTGCTCTGGTCTCTCAACGAACTTCTGATTGAAATGTTGAATGCTAAAAGAAATTAGAGATAAATATGAGGAACTCGATACTTCAGGTTACAGAGACAAGCAAAAAGAACACTGATTGTTAGTAGTTGTACGGCGTGTCCGAGTCTCCGGCGGAATAGAATGTGTGAAAAAAGTAACGTAATGATTTACGTTGCTTTTTGTAGCGAGAGCTTTTCCAAACTAGAGATGTGAAAGAAATTGAGAGCGAGGGCGCGTGAGAGATGGAGACACGCTCGTACGTGGATATAGTTGTAAGAGAATCGGCGACAAGTTGGAAAAGAAAGAAAGATAGAAAGCGAATTGGAGGGATTTAGGCATGGCGGATGGATGAGCGATGGATTGTTGTTGTTTCAGTGTTGGCCTCGATGCCCGGCCTGACGCTGAACTCGCTGAACGCACCCACGACGAAGAAGCTGTTCACCTGCCAGTTGTGCGGCAAGGTGCTGTGCAGCAAGGCGAGCCTCAAGCGGCACGTGGCTGACAAGCACGCCGAGCGCCAGGAGGAGTACCGATGCGTCATCTGCGAGCGGGTCTACTGCTCCCGTAACTCCCTGATGACCCATATCTATACCTATCATAAGAGCCGGCCCGGCGACATTGACATTAAGTTCTTTTGAAGGTTTAGATAAGGTAGGGCCGTCAAAACCAAGCACCACAATCTCTCTCTTACTCTCTCTTCAAACTTTTTCTTAAATCGCCACTTTTCTCAACGACTCGCTAATTTCATTTTTTCTGTCGGACTAACTTATTATACTGATTATTATGCTAACCCTACGTGGTTAATCCATCGAAGCTGCCTCGGTCTCCAACTTACTAACACTTATTTTTTCACGAACCTCTTACCTTTTCCGCCTGGTTTTCTTTGTTTGGTTTGTTTTTTTTTTTCACTTGAGTTTCTTGGTTTTTTTTGTTATTAATATTTTCTGTCAATTAACGTTTTGGTTTTTCGAATTGTTGCATGTGGCGCCTAGTTCTTAACTCTTTTCTTATACTTTCTCAACCCCAACTGCTAAAAATGTTCAGTGACGTGAATCATTTGTATCTAATTTCGCGAATACCTTGCACTAGGCGAATGAATGTATTTGCAAAATATGAATGGATTTAAAAGATACCGATGATACTCTTTTTTACTATTTTGTCGCTAAAATCAAAGTATTTGTAGAAAATACAAACTCCATACTCTGTACAAATGTTAACTTCTACGCAATGAATTTCTTCTTGTAGAAGAGATTTACTTTCAAGTTTAATGGGCTTGATGTAAATCTGATATTGGGAAACATTATAAAAATCCGTTTGAGATTAGAATTTTAACAGTGCGCAAACTCTTCTCTTTTTCCGTTTTTTATAGTTTTACGATTCCCTGCTCTATCCCTTCCATCCACTATATTTGCTTACATATTTGATATTTATTTTGCGTGCGGCTCTATGTTTGCTTTTGTGATGTTACTTTTTTTTGTTGCGTTTGCTTTGAGTGTTTGCTGTTGTATGCATGCTGAGCATTCGCGTGACGTACATTTTCACGGAGATGTTTTTTGGTCGAAAAATTGAAAATTCATTGTCTCGACAAACTATTTTATTCGACTAGTCACGTGATTTTACTAGAAATCTAAAGGGAAAAAGTACGTGAACTACTTTTTAATGCATGTTCTTTTGTTAAATTTACTTTACCGATACCCAACCAATATTGATTTTCCACTAACCCCATTTTCTATAAAGTTTACTATTAAACTTTTTTAGCCTAATAATTAAGAGTTAGGTCGAGGCTACTTCGATGGTACTTTATCGAAATATGGCAATTAATAATGATGCAAATTACATTTGTACGCTAATTATTCTATTTTTGAATGAAAACTCGTTGAAATGTCGAGTATTCTAAGAGACGATATTTTATAGAAACACGGATTTCATTTCAGCGAATTTTCGAGCCATTAATAAGAGCTAACAAAAATGTCAAGATAATTACTAATAAAATTGACATGGTATTCTTCATTCCAAGTGTATAAATAAAGCCACAAATGTCAATAGATATATTCCGGAGAAATGGCAAGAGGAGAAAGAAATGTATTGAGAATGAAAGAAATAACGATAAATCAATGGCTAACACGCATGCAGGGTGAAGCAAACCGCATTGGCTTGAGAAGGCTGGGCGAATGTCGATGAAAAAGAAAATAGTTGGAAACATTGCGCGTGAACGTACGTTTTGCTGTTATTTTTTGTAGGCACAGGCAGCAACGGCATGCAGCAGCAGCAGCAGCAGCAGCAGCAGTCGCAGTCGCAGTCTCAGCAGCAGCAGCAGCAGCAGCAGCAGCAGCAGCATCAGTCAACAGGTCCATTAGCCGTGTATCGGATGCCTCCACCGACAGCCGGTGGCATAAATGAGCCTCAGGAGTGCCCCTACTGCCGACGCACCTTCTCATGCTATTACTCGCTGAAACGTCACTTTCAGGACAAGCATGAGCAGTCGGACACGCTGTACGTTTGCGAGTTTTGCAATCGCCGCTACCGAACCAAGAACTCTCTGACCACTCATAAAAGTCTGCAACATCGTGGCTCCAGTGGTATGCTCAAGCGTCTCCTGAAGACCAGCGCGATCAAGAACGTCCTTAGCCATCACCACCACCATCATCAGCAACAGCAGCATCATCAGCAGCAACAGCAGCCGCAGCAGCACCACCCGACGATTCCCCAATGAGAGCTACAACTGACATACTGCTACCGGCGCTCCTGCGCTTTTAAACCGCCGCCGCAGCCACCTCTTCGCTACTGTCATCCTAGCGTCGAAAATGCCAAATGCTCGCTGCCAGTCTAGTTCTCGGTCTGGCGCATGAGGCTATCCAAAGACCACGACGATGACACTTTTATTCGCAAGAGGCGACACGACTGACATATGTACGCACAATCTTTTGGCATTTTAACTCTTTATCTCCTCCTTCTATCACTTCTTCTACTAGTACCGTTGCTATCATTTCTTTTTCTCTGACTTCATCTCAAGCTTCAGCGATCTCTTTGGGAGATGATTGTCAATTAATTGTGCGCTCGTATCGCTCGCTGTGCAACTTTTTCACTTACATTTCGTGTGTGCAAGTCTTGCAGAGTGCAGCGTGAGACATGTGTGTGTGCGCGCGTGTGTGTGCGTGTTGATGTTATACGTACATTATGTAGGTAGATACGATTCTGGATTTTATTCACAACTCGTAAATCTCTCGTACGATCCTTAAAAATAAAGGCATTTTTGCTTTTATATCGTCGATGTACGTACGTATACATTAAACTTACCCTTTGCGGAGAAGGGATGTTTTGATTCCCCGAGTGTGATCATCGTTCTATGATGGAATCCTGACGTGCTCAACAAAAATGAAACGCTCAATCGTGGTGTACAGATTTTGAAACAGAACAGGAAGGGGGGTAAGGACTCGGCGATCGTTTAGCCAAGAGGGAAGGAGATGGCAAGCGCGCGAGATTTGTACAGTGGACAGAGGTAATCGAGTGTGTAGAAATTACGGATTCTCCCGAGATTTAATTATAAAAATAAGAGAGAGATGAGTTGTATAGGTCCATCGCGAGCGCGAATTGCAAACTATATTTTTAACTTTTTAAATGCTAATATTTTGAATCGTGTATATAAACAATATATATACATATACATTTACATAGACATATATATTCATACGATATTAACGAAAAAAATTAATAATAAAGTAAATAAATAAATAACAATACGAAAAAAAATATTCACTCGTTCTGATTTTACGAGTTGAAACGAAAAAAAAAAAAGAATAGAAATGAGCGGCACGCGTATACGATGGATATGCGATTCAAACAAATGCCTCTTCAGATTCTTTCGGCGCGCGTCTCTATCTATATAGACCGTTTTTTTTTCTCCTTCCGTTCTTGAAGCCCCTTGCTCTGCGCCCTCAATTGGCAAACTGTGCAATATTACATTTGTAAGACTTTTAATACTGAGCGCGGAGACGGCTAAATTGATGGTTGGCCCATTCTTAAAGTGATAGAATATGCCGATTTTGGGGAAAAAAAATTGGTGCTCCAGGACGATATAACGCGTGTATATGCTATCATTTTGAAAACGAAAAGTGATGTCTCGATAAGAAGCGTGATATTATTGCGAGAGGAAATACTTACATTTTTCGGACGAAAACTATATCTATATATTTTTCTATACAACAGAACTAGAAATTATTGGCGCATTCAAACTTGAAGTTGCATTTGTTGCTTCAAAATCGTCATGATATCCATCGAAATTGTCAACCGCACAAAGGAACGAGTTTTAAAAAAACTATACTAATAATGCCATTTATATACATAAAAACACAATTAAGTACAAATTTCTAAGAAGGAGAGCATCATGTCTGCCAAGAGTAGTTCGGTTCTATTTAGCTAAAGATAAAATTTAGAATTAAATTCAGACGAGTCTTTGATAGCATGTGGGGAGGGAATTTAAAAATATCCTCGAGATGATTGCACAATGTATACCGAATGAAAATTATACGATTTTTATACTTTAATCTCGAAGGTCAAACCGGGAAACAAAGTTTGCTAAGTTTGTTTGTACATTCTTTGGGATCCTGAGAAAAAGAAACTTAAAAGTGACGTTAGTTTTGAACGTCTCGGTAATAAGTAAGATTAACGGGAAATTGGCACACTGTTCGGGCAAGATGTGGGACTTTTTCAAAATTGAAAGAATTTCGAGTAAAGAGAAAATTTATCGTTCGTTTTGAACCCTGCAAAACGAGAATCGTCGAAAAAAAGCTATAGCGCTAGTGAAATTGAACCTAGTCATTTTTGGAAATTTGTATTTCTGTGATAAAAGAAAAAAACATGTGGCAAAAGAAATCAGGGATGAAAAAGAATGTTCCACATGATTGCTGAAACGAACGTGTGCTCGGCTTAACGTAAAAAAGGATAATCTAAAGAAAAAAAATGAAAATTGGCTATTAAAATTAATGTGAAATTCTGTGATGTTCTTTCGTTTTAATATTAGGTAATGAAAGTGAAGCGCTAAAAGATTATCGAAAAATTGTATACGGATTTAAATTCAATGTTTAGTAATGTACATGTGAAATTGTAAAGAACGTATGACTACGAGATACAAAGAATATCTTCCAAAAGTTAAGAATTTTTTAAAATGGAAATGCGAGTAGGAGAGAACTGGAAGTCATCATTGCCGAGCAACAAAGCGCAAATTGATTTGTTATCAAATTTGTTTATATTATTATATTAGGATAATTTTGCGAGTAGGCATAGAAAAAAAATTCAAAAAAAATTTAAAGAAAAATGCGTATATACGATGCCAAAGGCCAAATGACTGCTCGTTGATAAATAAATATATAGAAGATTAATTCTTTTTGTGCTTTTTCGAAAACGAAACCAAAGTTCTAAAAGACGTTTTCTATTATATGCGCTGTTGTATCTTGCTCGACAGTGGTGACTATTCTCTCGTTCTATAGTTAATTCGTAATCATATCTCTCCAGGGTATACACTTGCTCTTTGTCAATAATAGAATGTCTTAGAAGATAAAGGGAGTCATCAATGGCGGACGATTGCTTAAATTTTTAATGGAAAGAAAAGAATTTTTCGAACGACGTGCCAAGTATTTTACTTTCGAAATTGCAGTAATATACCGTAAAACGAGGTTGTATAATAATTATAGTAGAGTATGTCAATGAGGCAGGAAATATGTTGCGTAATTTTTAGAATCACCGGGAAAACTAACAATCGTTCATCCAGCGTACCGACTGTCGTTGATAGAGTCGTTGGGTTAAACAAGAATTATTTTACAAGACTTTTAGTTACAGTTAGAATAAATAAAAAAATTTATACTAATATTTCAACGTATATAACAGCAAGTAAATCAGTCAAATTAAATTATGACACAATTCTAAATATCACTGTTCAATCGTCAAATTCTTTCTAGCCTCATTCAACAATTTACATAATTAATTTGGGCCCTCAACTGTTCTAAACATTTCAGTAGTTATTCACATCATCATGTAACTCTACGATTTGTTTGTACATATAACGTGTCGAATAAATATACTTTTTATGTATGTCATATATCAAAGGCTGGTTACCGGTTGGGAAGATACTTATAACTTTTGCATTTGAAAGTCCAAGTAATTTTACCACTAAAAAGAAGAAGGAAGAAAATATTTGAGAGTTTTTATCATTAATATATGTAACAATATGAAAGCCTCAAAACCGATGCTTTAAAGGGAAAGTCTGATGAAAATATTTTTTTCTAATTAAAACACTCCGCTCGTTTCTTTCCGACTACAACTTTGTAAATTTTTTAATGGGACTAGTTTTGCGCCAATATTAATTTCTGTGCCATTCAGATAAAAAACATAATAACTTTTTTATTTCGACAATAGTACATTGACTTGAAATATGTTTTTAAAATTTTTATCATATTTTAGCATAAAAATGTCCACAGCTTTTTAATAATAGTTATCGCGTAATTTTGACTTCTTTATAGCTGTTTTCGATCAAGCAATTGCAGTTTGGAGTTTTCTAGTGCTGTGACAAAAACATTTTAGATAATTATTCGGAAAGGCTGATTTTAATAATTAATTAACATAAACCGATTATTAAGAAACTATTGGAAAAAATTTATTTGTAACCTTATCTGTTTTAAATTTTTTAATTCCTAACTTTAAAAGGGAATCGACTGATTAGACTGTTTTTGATTGGTTTAAAGGTTTTTCTTGTTGATGTGATATTGACGTACCAAAGAGCATCGGAAAATCGTTTATCTTCTCGAGTTTACGTCACGTGTGGCTTGTTATTTAGAGAAAATTTATAGCATTAAATCTTCACAATTGAAGTCAAAAAGTCATTAAATAAGTCAAATTTTGTTATTTGAAAAATTATTTTTGGATTTTGCATAGTTTATTTTTAGAACTTATTTATGACGAGCCACACAAATTTGAGAACATAATGAATGTATTATTTCATGAAATAATTGCTCTTTCTGTTTGAATTGTATTTTTCGACTTAAAAAAATAAAACGCAAAAAATTTATTAATTTGGTGTGCTGGGAAAACACAGACATGCGTAATTGAAGCAACATATATATGCTGGCGTTTGATTCGAAAAGTTAAGGGACTGTAAGTATAAGGAAAAAAGAAAAATTTTTGAAGATAGAAAGAAAGACTACTTAGATTTATTTTTATTGTCTTCAAAAAGACTTTAATATTTATATTGTGCCATATATAATATTAACGAACCTTAAGTATAAATTAATTGTTATAAAAATTTTTGAATCTATCAGAAGGGAAAATTGCAAAAAGCGTAAGTGTGGCGGTAAAAAGTTGAGAAAACATGTAATTCACATAAATGAAACTCAAAGTAAACAGCAGATAGCATCCGTAGTTTTTATTCAATAATTAAAGATTTGTAGAATTTAAGCAATCGTAACAAAAATTAAAATTAATAAAATCACAGTAATGAAGAAAACAAGTATGTATAGATTAAAATATTTCTAATCAGCGTCGCATTTTTCATGGTACTAACAAAGTTTCATATCATCATTCAACTTACTGTCAATAAACACGGCGGAGCGATTTTCCGCAACGCCGATACTTTTATCTGGATGAATGGACCAAAGTTAGCTGTTGTTCAAGCTATCACGACTTTTAGCCGAATGTAGATACATGTCTTTCTTGATTGACTCTATCAATCGAACATTTTTACAACCGTACGTGTTGAAAAAAAATTATTTTCCTTTTGTTGGACTTTATCTTTAAACGAGTAGTGTTTATTCTTTTAAAGAATTTTATTAAAACTTCTTGAGAAATATTATTTGATTCAACACCTATTGTGAGTAAGCCGCTATTAAACATGGCCAATGGTACATTTCTACACATAGTATACAAGATTATTTTTTTTGTTCTGTGAAAATTATTCACTCGTTTGTAAGTACGAATAAACTTCTGCTTAAGCGACTAGCGTTATAAATATTTCTGTATTTCAAAGTACTGAAAAAGAAATAACGGGAAAAGTTGCCACGTGATTGTAAAAATATCAATAGTTAATAAAGAGTCCTAAAATAGATACAGCTGACTTTATGATATAATTACACAAATAGTAACTATATAGTTTGTACACATATCGCGCGATTTAACGGTATGCATTTTGTTACTTCTTGTTCATTATTTTCATTGCTTGTGTATTATGAAATATCATACGGAAAAGGATCAATACAAATGAGCTCTGTGTACTTTTCTGACAATCTGCTTAGTTTGTATATTATTATCTTTATACGTGTAGTCGCAACAGCATATATTTTTTTTCTCATGTAACGTTCTTTAATTCATTAAACGCCCACAGCTGTACTCCATCGTCTTTCATCATGAACATCATCGTGTTGTGATACATTTTTGTATGATAAACTAAGTCGATGGCACGTTATGTTAACTCTCCATGTAAATACGTACATATCTACATTGCGTATAGTATGTATAAGTTTATATTTTCTAAAACATGTCTTTTGATTATTGATAATATTATGCTATTTTCCAATTATTACGCATGTTCTTAGAGTGATTGTTGAAAATGTTCAGTAAAACATTTAATGTAATCTATTTTACTGTCACTATTATAATCTTCATTGTCATTACGTTACTATTACAAATATCATTATTATTATTATTATTATTACTAATATCAATGTAAAATCGCAAGTATGGTATCAGTTATAATCATTTTCCAACGATAGTTTTTCTTATTATTCTATTTCTGCAAAAGTGTTTTTTTCAATATATAATTGTTTTTAAACAAGCTTTGAAAACATGTTGTTACGCACATAGTTATACAGAAGTAGAAGATTCACGATAAATGAGGCAATGTTTATGTTAAAGATAAGCAGAATAAATATTCGTATTCTAATGTGTTAACGGAAAAACGTGCTTCTTATGAGTTATTATTAGCAGAGTTGCGACAATCTTTGGCAGCTTCTGATTTCATTGATTTGTGTTTTTTTTTATTAATCTTTTACCCACATGCAGTTAGATGCGATCACGATTTTGTCTTAACAATATCAAGTAATGTGTAAGTATACACATTTTTTCACTTCATTAAAATCAGAGATTTAATACAATAAAAGTAAAAGAAATAGAGCATGCAAAAGTGTCGATCAAGCATTTGATAAGGCGAAAATGAAAACGCACAAATGACTACGATCGATTGTAATAGAATAAAATTCTGAATCTCTTTGATAGATCAAAATTTATAATTTTCAAATTTAAAATCATGAAAGTAAAATATGATACTAAACAAATTATTTTTTGTGTGCAAAAACTCAATTTCGAATTAACATGTATAACATGCGCTAACTGTCTTTACATACAAAAAATGTTAGAAATTTACGTTTAAAAGTAGATCACGGTTCGATTAATTTAATAAGTAACAAAGTGCAACACGCTGCCTTGCTGAACAGTACAAGTACAAAACGAATACAAATACATAAAAAACATGTCTTCGATTTAATGAAGGGAAAGGATTCTGGTAATTAAGATAAGTAAGAAAATTGTTAACTGTAAGGAAATCATAACGGAATAGCAGAAAAAGTTATACGACATTAACGAAATGAAGAGAACTCACCGTATACATTTACGTCGCTGCCCGTCACTTTGTAAAAATAAAAAAACATAAATGCGCAGTAATAAATAAAAGATCGATAAGCGACATCGCGCATTCGTATTAAATACCTCAATGATTGCCGCAACCCTCGGGAGCGCCGTACGTAACAGCGATTCTTGATCTGCTATATCGAACGTCAGTTTAGTCTGTAAACAAACGGATTGTACTCCGTCTTTTCAAGAAAAAATGTATGTCTCGTCCAAGCTCTATGAGAGTTTCGTACCTGCGGTTTCATATAACACTGCCACAATAAATTTTATAAAAAGTCTTGTACGTCGTGATGATGAAAATCTATAATAATAACTGACGCTTTCGGCAAATTTATGATCCATTGAAATGTAAACTATTCAGGATCAATTAATATATAAGAAGCGAAGCCAATTGATTTAAAAATAATAATGGACTTGTAAAAACTCTCACGATTCTAATCAAGATGTATGATATTCGTAAAAATAACTTATACAGAATTAAATGTTCTCATAGTACTATCATGTAATTAACTAACGTATCAAAAAATAAAAAAAAATATCCAACTTGTAATGAATACGCACAAAAGGTAGGACTTACAGTTTAAAAAGGCTTACGCTTCGCAACTACGACTCCTGTATTTGGAATTACGGCGCACCCGAGACACATTAAGGCATATTCTTTTTTAAGCTACAATAGTTGTACTTACGTCCCGTATTTTATCAGTAATAATGTCTGGACATTTTACGAGTTTCTCGTTTGCCTGACTCTGTTGGCAAACATTTTTAATCTAAGTAGAGACATGACGGATTCATTAAATTTATCCTAGTTATTGTAATCTATGCAACATCTTTCAATTATTTAGATTGTGTTAGTTAATATGTAGACATACTTTTCTGTTGAGCCATAACATAGCCTTGCAAACGAGACTCGTTTCATCACAACAGTCGCCATATTATATTTTACAGAATATTTATGTATACATATATATTGTTTCGTTATCGCAAATGATACTGATGCAGTGACTGTGTAATATCATATTATAAGAATTAAATGTGTGCATATCCAACATTTTACAGATTTTTTTTCTACTTTGTTGAACAATCAGCTTTTACAAGAACTGTTGTAAAGCGAAAGTATCAATTTATTTATATTACAAATGTGAATTCACGTAGTTTTGGTTTCCATTGAAGGCTGATCCCATCGTTATAAAATTACATCAATAATAGCAAATTATAAAAACGGCGTTATTTTTAGTGTTCATGTTCTGTAACGTGGAGATTTTCATTCAGTTTACTATTTTGAGATAGAATATGCAACAATTTATCGAACTTACTATGTAACCGAGCATTCCAAGTAAACAAGAAAAAAGCAAGAAACGATGAAGGTTTGAAAATGACTTTCATGAACGTAGGTAGACATGTGGGTGAAATGGAGAGAAAGGGAGAGAACGAAAGAGTGAGAGATTAAAGCTTGAACGACAAGGTTCTAGCGCTACAATCTTAAGTGACGTGTGTCGCATCTTTTTAGGCTATTAACATTATAATTAAACGATATTAAGATTAATTAATATATGATTATCTATTAATGGATAAGTGTTTATTCGCATTTTAATATAAGGAATTATTATTATAAAAAATTCAATAATAGTTGTTGGTGTAATATTATGAAATAAATCTTTAACGAGAAAAGTTTTTTTTTAACCTTTACATGACCTTTGCAGGGTAAAATAAGATATTGTACAAAATTTTACTATTAAAATTATTAATTAGCCGCACTAGCCGAATAAAAAATAAAAAATTTTAAATTCGTCAGTACATCATGGTTAACTAGCTTCTTACTTGCCTTTTCTTTCTCAACTGTTTAAAGTGATGAAAATATTGTCCATATAATATTGTTTAGTTTCAATCACTATTACAACAATCTATATATTAAATAAATACGATACTATCACGGGTTTTAACCAAGACGTGATACATTAAAAATTTGTTATGTCGGTAAAAATAAGTATTTAATAAAATAAAATGAAATAATAAAGTGGATTTTACAACACCGGGTCATATATTTAATTATATACATATATAATTGTGTAATATAGATTCAAAAATATAAATTGTTTGCTTTTAACGTATTTTCTTTTGTAGATAGTACAAATAAATTGGAAGCTATAATTATTAAGTGTACAAATTTTGTGGAACAAATCCTATAGATTTATTATATACGCATGAGTTTAATATTTTAATTTTATTTAAAAATCAGTTATCTGCTGTTGGTAAAGTTGAACCTAACTTCATGGTAATCGACGAACTTACCTATCGACGTAAGGTACATAAAATCAAATATCATGCTTCAGGCGTGAGCAGTGCCCAAAGTATAGTCTGCTGTTATTCTTTTATTCGAATAGTATGGAAGAATGTGGAAATATTTTCAATGTTTAGAATAAATTTGCAGTTACTTTTTAGCAGAATAAAATGAAGATGTACATTACAGTTTCCTTTTAAAGCGTTCATTAATCAAATATTAAAGTAAGTAATTATTTTGTGTATTATGTTATTACTAAAAAAGCTAATTTAAGGTTATAATTGATTATTTCTGAAATAAAATCATATATAGTTGTTGTTAATAAATATTCCACTATTTTATTAAAGATATTAAGTATTTTAATCTTCCAGACAGTTATTTAGTAATACCCTACTCTTTAAAACGCTAAATCGTATTGTGTACATACAGCTGGTATTAGAATATTAGGTTATTATGCTCATAGTACAAGTACAAGCACGTACTGTTCGCAGATGGCGTAGTACGTCACAGTAGACGTTTGATTTTGGTCGGACAAATAAAGCACATCGTATGAAATTTTTTATTCATTCTAATTTCGCATTTAATTTATAAAATATCTTTCAAAAATTGAAATAATGATGTATAAAATGATTGTTCTTGAGCAAAACATCATAATTAGACCATAATCCAACAAATCTTAATTAATTTCTTAACTACCAATTTTCTTTAATCAAAAATTAATGCATTAATAAAAAATAATTAACGTTTTTAAATCCATTAAAAAAAAGTTTTTTTTATGTCAAGTCAAGCTCTAATTAATCAATTGTAAGAAAAACTGTTGTTCGTTTTAAATAGTTAAAAGATTCATATAAAATTACAAAGAACAAAATCTAGATTTCAACAGGACGTGGGTAATACTTTCAATAAAAATCAAAATATTGATTATAAAATAATATAATTAATAATTTACATACATATTTTTATAGGTAGTTCAAAGTGATATGAACTATCTATAAAATAATGAACGAATCCGAAAATATTAGTTGCAATGTAAGCTAAGCAAATAAATATATTAAATTTCTTGTAAAATGTATATATGATAATTGATACAATCTAGCCAAGTGTAATTTTCACAATAAATAACTTATTTGACGAAGGGTGCAGGCGGCATCTGCATTCTTAATTCTCTTAATTTTATTAGCATTAGTAGTAATTATTTTCATGCTCTGCCTTGCGTTCTTCTTCGCATTCACACAGTCAGGCTTCTAATCTGTTATACTCATTTAAAAAGTAACATCTCAAGGTCATACGATTTGACCTCACGTCTAGTTAAAATAAGTTAGTATATGTTTATTAGCTCTTTTTATTTGATAACATATTCCTACTTTTAATATGTATCATCGTGAAGTTTTTCAACCTTTCATACTTTTCATTCACTTATTCTCTTATAGAATGTATTTATGTATTTTATGTAAAATACTGAATTTTTCATTTATCTAATTTAAGTCTTAATCATTATTGAGCTTATGCACCCTTTTTATAATATTTATCAAAATAAATACATTTTTCACGAAATATTGAACACGCAATAAGTTGATTTTAGATCTGAATTGGTTTCACAACTACCATATGCTGTAAATTCATCCAATCCAATTAGACAATGCCGCTCGTATTTTCTTCTTGAAAATTGAAAGCAAAATTTTACTAGTTGAGCGATATCTTTAACCTTATTAAAATTTTCAAATTGATTTTTTATGAGTAAATTATAAACTTGATCAGTGTATATACAATATTGTCAAAGCACTCTCGAAAGTTTCAATCCTGGAATAATCGTAGTAAAATAATCGACTTTGCTAATATTCAAATAATCAAAAAATGAAGCTTGTTAAAAACTGAGTTTATGAAAATTTTTAACTATAAATTATTGTATCTTGAGTACATATTTATGATAAAATGTACTTGTTAAAATCAGCTTCAACTGTCCAATCACGTAAGCACCTCCTATTATTATGAGTTGAAAATAAGATAAATATTGTTAATAATCATTTCTATCGTTTTAAATATTGATAGCACTTGAATAAAACTGTGAGATACTTAAAGTACATTTTGTTATAAGATTATTTTTCCAATGCTCATTTCCATTTTTCAATTCAACTGTACATCCTAGATAACTTTATAATACTTTTAATACAATGATTACTCGAAAAAAAAATTAGATTTAAAAACAGAAATATCTACATATTTGTCACTATTTCATTTTTGAAAATTCACATTTCAAGAGAGAAATGGTATGACATTTAATAAATTTGTCTAAAATGTATTTACTTTGTTTTTTGAAACTGTGTCGAGTGTGTGCAAACTATATTAATATAATGATATTTATTGATTGAAAGAACGTGTATGTACGATCCGTCCAATATTAAAATTTTATAATCTTTTCCGAATGTACTCATTTTTGAAGAAAATAGTACGTTTCATAAGTAAATTTTATTATACTTTTAAAGTGTATTATTAGTTTTCTAGCAATTGTAAGAAATTAAATTTTCAAATCCGCCATATATTCATTTTTCTACATCTGCCTTTTCCTTCCCATATTGCAAATTTTAAAGTGACAGAGTGCCATATCTGAAACAAAGAATATATCCATGAGACAACAATATATCCATTTAGCACTAATTTATAGAATGAAATGGTCGTTAGCATGCAGCCATAAGCGTCTTATTTTGTTTTTAGTATTATTATTTTTTGGTGTAGTTTTAATTCCTGTCTGATTTAATGTGCATGCTGTTTTCGAAACATAAGTTATAATATTTAGTAATAGTATCGTTATAGGTTGCATTACAAAACAATGATTATAAATTGTTTATAGTATCGACTTCTAACGTATATCAATACTGATTCATCTATCTATATATTGAGTAGAAATCTGATGAATTCTCCGGGAATCATGTTTAAAGGTGAACTTCAATTGAGGCTAATCGTGCATCAAGGAATACCGACACACCTTGATTCGAATTTTAGTAACGTTTGTTAGATATCGGAAAAACCTTTTGAGAAAATAATTTCTCGTTCAATTACGTAAAATTATATTATTATGTAATTTGAATGATATTTTAATTTAGTATTACGCATGGTTCAATTATGAGGAAAAAAATGATACTGAGAAACTTGTTATTGCGATATAAATACAAACGAATAATTTATATTGACTTACAGCTAGTCCGTTTTCCAGAACGTAGAGGTGCATTATGATAAATAGCTGCTGGTAATGGTAAACTCTCTGGATCTTCTTCTGAATCTCGTTGCTCTTGTTCGCTTTTAACTTTAGCATCAATGAGAGCTTGTATTTCCATCTGGTCTTCAGCTAACTCATCTATTTCTCTATTTATTTTTTCTTCTTTTCGCTCTACTATTTGTTTTAACCGTTCAACTAGCATCTGTAAAAAAAAATAGAGTAGAACGAATAAAATTAAAGTTTCTTTTAAAAATATTTCGTGGTTCAAATATTTTAATGCTATCGATAATCCATTTGTCTAAGTAATCAACTTTAAAATATACATATAATAGCGGTTACTATTATGAGTTCTTTTCAATATATGCTATTAATAATATTATTCCAAAGTGATCATGAAATTCAAAAACTTACTTGATTAGGTTCTTCTAGTCCGTAATCTTCTCTATAAATCATTCCCGGAGGTATAGGATAAGGCATAGCAATTACATAGTGACTTGTGATTAAGCACAGTAAGAGTATCATCATCGGACCTAGTCTTGTACCCTTTTCCAGTTTTCTATCTATTAGTATATTCAGTATTCGCTCTGAAACAGAAAGAAAAGCATTTTAAATAAAAATAAACATTTTTTACCATCTATAATTATGAAATTGCTGATTGTCTCAATTGCATTTAAATAAAAGAAACATCGTTAAAATAGTATAAGTGGGCTAGTGAGAACTAAAGAGCAATTCTTTATAAATTTATTCAAAGAAGTATTTCATTTATTTTTCAAAGTAAAAATTGTATTAAAACAATTATTTCTTCTTTATAATACTATATAAATCAAAAGAATAACTTTTTGCATATTTTAATTGCGTTCTTTATTATTACTTAATTTTTAACAGTTCTAATTTTTATATTCAAATAGAAATTATTCAATTTGACGTCTCTTTCATTGAAACTTCATTAAAAATAAGATAATGATAAATATTAAATGTCAAAATAAAACTTATTGTAATAATTCGTGTAATTGGACAACGCAAGTGTTAAATTATCCTTACTTGAACAAAGAAAAAAACGTAAAATCTTTTACGTCATGTACTTATAAATGTAACTGATACTTTCACCCACACACAATGAGTATATTTAAACAATAGAGTAGTAGTTGCATCTACAAGTGATCTCATAGTATAGAGGCAATTTTACTAAATTGTGTACTTTATCTTAGCACCGTTTAATTACGTATTTTACATTAAATTGTTTGATTACGGTTTAAAATGCATTTATTTCTCTAATAAATGTTGATAAAAATAACCTCGAAAGAAAATATATTTATATTTCAAAAATAAATGTTTGAAATATCTTCATATTTTTGTTCTATTCAGATTATTTTTTCTAAAATCACTTCACTAGAAACGTCTTAAGATTTTTTAAACGCAAATACCAATCGGACACCAAGCTTCGTGATGCAATTTTAAAAAGGAAATTTTACTAAATGCGCACATTCATAAAAGAAACTCTCTAAGTATATTTAAAAAAGGATAGAATATATATCATTCTTCATACTTTATCGTCACAGCGAAACTAATTTTAATTGTACACGGATCATGTGCACGTTTCATAAATATTAATTTCATAGTAAACTTTTGCATATTGATATAAAATGAAAAAATTAAATTGGTAGTCTCACAAATTGTTTGTGTTACATTTTACTTTATAGTAATATGAAACTATCATATCCATTTATTATAAATTTGAGTAATTATACCAAATAGTAAATTTTATTGATGTTAATTTCAAATAAACTTGATAATAAAAATGTTCATCTCAATATAAAATAACAAAATAAATCAAGTCAAACCAAAGTCAATTGCTAAAACTAGTTAAAAAACAAAGAATAATTTAAAAAATCTATGATTTTGTTCATTAATTGGTTAATGTTGTTCATACTATATTACACAAATATTAATTAACATTATATAACATATTATAAAGTACATAAAATTCTTGATTCAAATTACAACTATAAATGTAATTTTTATCTTATAAAAAAGCTTAGTGTTTACTTGAAATTTTATCCAGATGTCTTGATCGATGTTAAATTTATTTGATCTATTTTGAATGTTAATATATAAAGTTTATTCACCGTTTTATTATTACGTACAGCCTTTAACTAAAAAAGAATTATTATTTTAACATTTACATTTATCTTAACTTTTCCTACCTGTTGGAAAATAGCACTCATATGCAAGGAATATTCAACAGCTCACGATATTTGTAACTGCGTAATCAATGTAAGAAAACAACTCAATTGCACTCAACGTTGAGAAATAATATAAATGCACTAAAATTTGTCAACAATCGATTGGACTTCGTGGCCAAAAAGCACAAAAATATCAATATTCTTTTAAAATTAGGATTCCTTTTCGTTTTATTTCAATACTCTGATTGGTATAACTGTACAGATCCTATTTTTATTTTTCCTTCGAGGATTGACTTTTTCCCGGAATGTCGGTAGCTCGAAGAGTGAGCAGCTAGGGCTGATGTTCTCTCTATTATACTCTCGCTTCCACCACCTTCCAACGCAACTCCTACCACCTGTAGAACCGTAGTATAAGGGTGTATTCCCATCTAACCCGCCCACATTCATAGTGCTACGGGGGGTCTTTCGATCTCTTTCCCCTTCTTTCACACCTTTTTCTACTTTTCTAAATTATATTAATATTAATTTAAGAAAATTATTACGAAAATTACTATAAACTTTATTTTTTTAAATGCATCATTTTTATAAGTGATTCTAATAAAAAGAATTTTATATGGGATTTGCCTACTTTTTTCCAAGTATTTTGATTAATAACCCGTTGTCCCGTTGTGAATCTATTTTAACTAATAACAACGAAGTTTCGCGTAAAGTTGTAAGAATGAAAATTATTTTGATTTTATTATAAAATATATATTTGACGTAATCCTTACTAATTTCTAGGTATAGTCTTGTAGGCGTGAAAAGTCAATAATATTTTTAGTTAAATTATTAGTTTACTCTTTAATTTTATTAAAAAAAAGTCAAATTAGGATTATAATATATAAATTCTGAGGTTTCAAAGTAATTTCTTTATTTGTTCAACGAAATTAGTTTTCAGTATGAATAATTTCAGGGAGAACTTGGCTAATTTCTATTATCAGAACAAGTTCTGACATTAAAAAACGTATATCCAGTATCAGTAATAATAAATATTTATTTTCATAAAAAATGGAAAATAAAAATATGGATTTTTCTTATTTTAGATAACTAAAAGGATAATAGATTTTAATACATTCTGAAAAGTTACAATATTCGTGAAATGAAATTTCGTTAATGGTAGATGACAATTATTGAATATTATTTGAACAGTTCGTAAATTTCTGTCTAATCATGTACGTATTAGAAATACAGCTTTTCTTCAATTTTTACAACCGTAAAAAGTGGAAACATCAAGCATGGCGATTTATCTGTCAGGTCTACTACTCGACTTTTAAATTTACGAACCTCTAGTTTCACAATTTCACACACCCTTTTCAATTGTTTCTCTCTCTCTCTCTCTCTCTCTCTCTTTCTTTCTCTCTCCCTCTCTCTCTTCGTGTAAACTAGTTCGTCTAAACGACTATCATTTCGAGTTGTGTGTATCGACAAGTCGAACGTTTTTAGCTTGTTGTAAGCCGTTCAATACAATACAACTCAAATTGTCTAGATGCACATGTAGCGCGCAACGAATTTCAATGCTTATATATATAGAAAATAAATGATAACGGAAACGATTCACGAAATACTACGTTGAAATATTAAATTGTGTTGTGAAAGGCCAAATAACTATAAAATAAATGGATGTTTGATATATCCTTACTTTTTAAACGTTATGATTTTTTCTAATATTAATGTTATTATAGCTACAAATAACTATTATAAATCACAAAACGTTTAGATGATATTTTTCAAATTTGTTTCATGAAATTATGTATTAATTGTTCTATATACGTGGGTAAATGAAAAATTTGAAGGATATAAGTAGTAGTGGTCAAGATATGATCCGACAACAAAAAAATTATGTCATAACTGTGATTCATCTACATTGAAACCGAAATATAAATATTGAAGATAATTATCATCTTTTATAAGAAATTACAGTGAAAGGCGAATCCATTTATCGTTTCATGAATAATTGAATTTAATATCTGGAGACAAATGTTAAAAAGAAAAGCTGATAGTTATGATTATTTCACGATATTTCATTTTTAGTTTTGTATTGAGATATAGAAAATATTAATTTGTAAATGTATTTCAATTATTTTATTTTACAAATTACAAAAATGTTAGAAATCATTGACTTAGCCTTCCGATTGATTTCGTAATAGATCGAAGAGTTCATTATTCTAATCGCGATCAACTCAACCAATGAACCAAATAGTTTCCATATACATATAGATTAATTTCAAATATCAATAAACGCCACACAGTGACGTATAAACTAAACTTACGTAATAATGTATAGTATCTTACATAAATCAGAAACTAAATACTGATGTATTCTGTTTTACCCTTAGTAATACAATAATTACCCTTTTGTCGAGCAAAAAAAATTATGCGCTTGAATTAGAAAATAGTACCATCCTGAAGATTATAATAAAAACTCTCAAAATGCGTAACTGTTATATTAACTTTTATAATAAAAAAATACAGTCACCTGATAAAAATATAAATGTAATCAATACGTATATAAAATTACAGAAGATGTCGGATAATAACTATGAGGATGACAAGCCGTTCGTGGTGGAATATGCCAAAACTGGCTTAGCAAAGTGTAAAAAATGCAAATGCCCAATCGATAAAGGCCAGGTGCGAATCGCTAAACTTATGGCCAATCCTTTTGGCGAAGGAAAAATGAAGTGCTGGCATCATGTGAGTTGTCTTTTCGAAATTTTCACAAAGCAGCGCGCTACCACTAAAAGAATTGAAAATCCCGAGGAGGATTTAGGTGGTTGGAATAATCTTTCCGATGAGGATAAGGATGTTGTATTGAAAAAACTTGCTGAATTTGAAGATGCCGGTAAGCTATTTGCTTCAAAGTTGTAAAAACATTTTACATTGTTCATATACTTATAATTCAATAGTTTTTCTTTAAATAGAACCATTCAAAGCTGCAAAAGCTAAAATGAAGTCTTCAAGTGCTCAAAAGTCTATCACGTCAAAGAAAAATACTATGAATGATTCCAATACATCTCGAAATAAAATTTCACATGAAAACGAAACTAAACAATCTCTTATGAAACGGCAGTATTCAAAAGATGACATGTTTTTAGAATTTCAGCGAATTTGTAATGATCTTTCGAATTGCAGTTCGTACTTGGAAAAAACTGCTATCGTCAAGAAATTGTTCAAAAAAGGAACTGAAAAAGGTATGTGCTTTTGTATTATAAATTGAAATCATAAATCTTATAATTAGTTTATAAAATTTTACTATAAATATTTTGAGATACTAATTAGATCATGTAGCTAAATAACAAGTTAATAATATGAGTGCAACTCAAATTTAATTTTTGTTGAAAATCCAGTCTACAAAATATCTGTGAGATTAATATCTGATTTTATTCAGTTACAAGTTGAAGTTAGGAAGAAACAAGTGATAATATTAGAAAATAAATTGCAATAAAAGTAGATTTTTTAGTAAACTTTCTTAAAAGTATTGCAATATATACTTTAAATACAACAGGTAATATTGAAAAAAAATAGTAATTCATTTTCATTGTCACATCACAAACAAAATTTGCAAAAGAAAAGTAACCTGTCGGGCATATAATAGCCACAATCTTGTTATTTATCTCTAATGTAAATTCTTTCATTATACTGGGAAAAAGCGAAGTGAATCTGGAATACAAAGAGCGCGTGAAAAATTTATGGTAACAATGGAACTGCTTTCTCATTTTTTCATCTTATAAACTTCATCATCAATCATTTAAATTTCCACGTTCAAATAGACACCGTCATGTCAATTTCACCGAAATTTTTACGGCAGAATGCCAAAGTGAAATTGAGTCATTTCAGGCAATACAGATTTCGAGAGCACCAAGAGAACTACGACATCGAGTCATATGATCGATGCTTTCAATTGTTTCAATCGAGTTGCGCACAGTCTTCCAAGTTGTAGCGAGGCCATGAAAAATGTCGACGAAGCATGGTACATTGTGGAATCTGACTTTAATGAACGCAATTTCTTCGTTTTTAACGATTTTGTATGGATTTGACTTCTCATATTCACTTTGCAAGTTAACCTTGTATCCGTAACGCGAAAAAATATATATTATATGTGTTAGCGGCATTGAAAGCGAAAAATTTTCCACGCACATATTGTTCCTCTTCTCATATCAATTTTACGCCTATATCAAACTTCCAAGTTATTTTAAATGATGAGTTCAGAAATGCTCGAAAGAGAAAGAGAGAAGTAAGGAATGAGTATGTTATCTGTCTTTGAGTCGCATATCCGAATAGTGTGAAGACGCGCGCCCGCGCGCGTGTACATCTTATCAATATCCTTCTTTTTTCTTTCCATGCATTCCATCAGCTACTTTACTGTACGTTTCTTCGTCGAATTTTCCTTTTTTTCTCCCGACCCTTATCGACTTTCTTCCACGCGTACGTATACGCTTGTCAGTCACTACGAAGAGAAATTTACCGAGACGATCTTGTATATTTATCTGGACAAGTACTTTATGTATTTAGACAAATTTCAATCATAAAAACATGCCGACATCAGCTCGGAATATATCAATCACTGAGATTATCGGGCATGGAATTCGTAATAAGCAGCGTGTCCTAGATCATCAGTAGCCACCATATACATCACACAAGCTTGGCCCAAAACATGTGATAAAGTCGCGGATTTATTTGTTATGAGGCTTTTATTTTGTCTTCCATCACAGCTCGAGTAAATGCGTAGTACAATCTGGATATTTAACTAATGAATGCAATGAAAGATATGGCCACGAGTGAGCCTTGATGTATTTCTAATTCATGAAACACCGACACATAAATCGTTCCAAGATGACCGAGTATTGCTGTATTATTTATAATAATACGTTATAATTTTTATAATATATAAGCCTAAGTTTATAATTATATTTTACTTATAATTTTGATTATATAGATTTCCATTTTCATTATCATCTATACGTAGAAAGTTCATATACAATATGCAGAAAAATTAATTAAAAATGTTATACTTAGCTAAAACTTTTGCCGATTATTGATAACAAACTAAGTATGAACACATTAAAAAATTATTAAATTATTCTAATTCTTTATTTGTTACAATTTGAAATAGCATGTCGATGTATAAATTTTGAATACTTACTCATATCCTCGTAAAACTTCTATATATTTTGTCTCGTTACAAAGTGAAGCACAATGTTGATGTTATTCAAATTATGAAATTGAGAATAATACTATTGGCTCAATGAAAATCTATAATCTTACGATATAGCATTCACCAATGCTTTTATTTATAATCAGTCAACTTATTGCAAAATAATTATTGATAATAATTTTGAGTGGCTTGAAACATGAAACTCATAGATGGCAAAGTGCATAAAACTAAAAATATCTTTCGAGATCACTGTGAACGGACTTGTGAATTCTTTCTGTTGTTAATAAATAATATTTCATATTATAAAATATTTACAGTTTTTAAGACCAACCATTAAAACTTATTAAGTCATCACGACTAATTTTTGTTTGAACGCACTAGTTTTCAATGATAAAGTTCAACAAAAACATCAGTTTTTTAAATAAACAAAAATCAATTGAAAGTAAATGTAATTATCTGTTTTTGTGAAGAATAGTAATTTTCAAATTAATAAAGACTTTTCTTTTGACTTGCTTTCACTATTTCAAAACCGTTCGAGCGAGATCGATGCTTTAGAATTAACACTGTGGATTCACTGTTTTCCGTCTATTGGTCCAAGATGAGGACCGTTGTGACTTATAAGCTTGCCGTCCCCACCGAGGCAGCCACCAATCGTGGATTCCGATGACAAGCCACTCCGCAGTCTGCTTGGCACCAGAATTTTACTTTTTTACTTTTCTTACTGTCGCAAGCTGATTATTGCACTTATACTTTATTATACGCGTCCCCATGTCTCTTATTTGCCGTTTTATTTTGCGTTCACTGATAAATATATTTTACGTAATTGTCAATGAACTTTTACTCTATAGTCAAACATTCCGGCCATTAATGCTTCTTCAATTCAAACAGTAATCACGCGGCACATGTATTAAAATACGACTTCCAGTACTGTCACAATTAATTTTCGGATAAATTCTTTATTAGTAGTTATCTATGCTTTAAGATAGAATCACAATCAAACATTTTATGTATTTAATCAATTGTTTTGTATGAATTGATAATCATTTATAACCATACTTTAAGAATTCAGACTTTAGCAATTTTTATTGATCTTTTATATCAATTCTTCAGTAACAAATACAGTGGTTGTGTACTTCGTTAAACAAATTTTAATTGCATAATTTCAATCAATTAAAAATATTTATTTACTTTTATGTATACATGTTATCATTTGTCGCTCTTGTTGGTTGTAAAAGTTATAATTACAATGATGTCGTCTACCGTTTTTGTAAAATATTTCTTTTACAGAGAGATTTACGATTATTAGAAAATTATTAGTAAATTGCCTTCACATAATTAATAATTTTCATATGATCGCAATTATCAACATATATTTTTTGCTAGAATTGTCATATTGGATTAACTGTATCAAGAATTAAAAAAAAATGAGTTTTTTCTTACTTGGGAAACTATTGTAAAAGAATGATATCTATCATTGCGTTGATTTATTATGTTAAATGATAGATAACTCAATTTAATAGCTTACTAAAAATGAATCAATTTTTGTGTCATAGAATCAACTTCCTAAATTAGTAAGTGATTGTGTATCAAGACTATTTATAAGTCAATGACTCTTTACGAGAATGGCTTACATAGAATTACTCAAAAAAGTTGTTATCAAATTTATTTACATGTTCAAATCTAGGTGTTACAGATAACGTTGTAACACGACGTTCTATCAATTTGTGCCAATTTTCTCAGTGGTACAAACATATATCAAGGCAATTTAATATCACTCCAAATTTAAATGAACTACGATTTTCATTTGTACGGTATATTTTATTATGTTATATATTTTGCATTTTACACAACTGTTATGTTACGTTTTACTGATTTTTGGAAGTCACGTTTGAATGATAGCGTGATATATACATGTGAGACATTTTTCATCTTGGCAATGTTTGTTTTCATGAACACACGTGAACGCTCCTCTTTTTCGGGCCCTGTTATAAATAAATCCTTTTTTTCTTTTCTTGAGCAGAAAAAAATTAAGATGGCTTTTCGATTAGACATATGATCGTTGCCGTATGTTAAGTGAAAAATCTCGAATCTCAATACAAATATCACGAGCATAATCTAGAATGCTGAAACGAGCATGTCAAAGAAAGTTGAATGAAGAGTGTATAGCTTAAAAAAAGAGATTAAATATCTGTCATGAAAGAATATACATGAGGGAATATTTGATTAATCTTACTGAATTTACTGAAAGCAATAATCACATATATTGTTTTCTTACAGAATTTGATTATCAAGATATTTTTAAAATGCTTTAAAATAAATATTTATAATTTGTATTGTCGGCAAATACTTTTCATCGGGCATTAAATATTTGAAATATGAACATCTAAGTTTCTGTATACATTTATGATCAGATTTTGAAACTATTCAGATCATAAATTATCGAATTCGTAAATCAATAAAGCATTATGTATATACGACATGATAAAAGTTTTTCATATGTATGAGTCTAGCAACATTTCACTTCTTTAAATCAAGGTGTTTTGTCATTGTGAAAACTAAATAAATTTGAATTACTCTTTATATCATCGAATGTTAAAATTATACAGCTATAAAACTTATATTACGTCAAAGAAAATTGATAAATATTGTCGATTTCAAAAACTTCACCCCAAGTGCTAATTTATAAAACGTAGAAGATGTCTACTAAAGTATAAAGGTAAAAGAGCCATTTTGGCAAATCATTTTAAATACTCTTAAAATAGGACCACAATATAAGTTTTAATACATAGTTTTTTGGCAAAATATCTTTTAATCAAACTTCTATATTCTTGAATGAACATAACCACAAGACATTTCATTAATTACTTAATCAAATCTCTATTTGATTGAGATCGATTACGATAGGAAATTTTAGTTTTAAAATAAATTAAGTTATCATAAGTTAAAAAAAAACTATTTATCACTTAATTTTATATTAACACATTTGCATAATCACATTAATGATATAAATTATTTTTAGTTAATTGCAAAAAAATTAATATAAAAACTGCCACGTGATATAATAAAATAATCTTTTTCTTTTTTTAAAATCTATGTTGAATATATTTGCTTTCATTCGTAATAATTTGTTATTGAATTTATAACAATGAAAATAAATTTATAATAACTAAAAATATCTTTATATCTGACTATGAAAGCATTATAAATCTTCGTCATACTTATTGAAGCGTGTGTTTCGTATGGCAATGACCTTATCTTTTGATTCCACCTAAGTTTATCATTTAGTTGCGCGATCCGATCCCCTATTTCCGTTTGATTTGCCGAAATAATTTATCCGTAACATAATTTTTTACTTCAAACGACGAATTAACTGATATACTGCTATATCTCTGAATTTTATTGCGCCAAATGTGTGACACGTGCAATGTTCGACTCGACCGGATTATATAAATAAACTTCACTGTTGACATCGACCGACGCCATCCAATTCTGTTAAAAATTATTGCCTCTATCGTTGATGCCTGAGAAGATTCATTCAGTAGCTTTAATTTAGGACTTTTCTAAAGTGTCATAAAGTTATGTTTACTCGCGCCGATGTTTTAAAAATCTTTTTGTCAATTGATGCAATAATTTTTGAGTATAGTATATTCTTTATTCTATAATAATTTTACATAATTTAAACGCTTATCATTGCTTACATTAAAAGGTTTAAATAATCTTTTAATTCATGAAATAATCATGAAAAGCAACTAAAATAGTGCTGTTTCAAAACAATATAAATAGTCTTTTTTCAATAATTTAAAGTGTAAGATTTCAGATTCATACTTGCGACACAACACATCACGTTTTCAGCTTTGATCTATTATTGTGTGTATAATATCACAAAAGATGCTATATTTCTTATAATGTTATTGAACTGAAAGAGTGTAGATTCAGCTTTCATAAATTTGAATACATCAACTCAAATGTTACTTTTCGTTTCTTTTCGTAAACAAACCACGAACTGCGCAGAAATAATACTTTTTATTGAATTATTTTTCACAGCTAAAATAGTATTTATGCAATGATAAAAAGATAATTTTAGTAGTGATATTAGCAAAATTTGGATTTGTTAAAAAAATAATGCTCATTTTCGTAATAGTTAATTTTCTCAAATATTTTACTTTCTTCGTTGTTTTCTTCAAAAGTTATAACTTGCTTTGTTTTGTTCCTTAAGATCTGAGAATATAATTTGATATAGTAAGATGATATGAAAAGTTGTGTTTGCATTCTGAGTCACTCGCAAGGATTGGAAAAGCGAAAATTAAATGAATATGTTGACGTGCATTTTAACCGGTTAAACCAGAGGTATGTGTCAGAAGAGCAAAAAGTCGATTAGGGCATTCAAATAAAAAGTATCTGCCACGGTGTATATCGAAACGAAGGACAAACTTTGAAAAAAATGCTAACCATCCTACAAGCGGATGTTAAAGTAAAAAATGTTGAAAATAAAAGTCGAAGGATAGTAAAACGAACGTAATACCGAAATAAAAGAGGTAGAAAACTCGTAAAGTAGAGTCTTATCGAATGAAAAAGCACAAAGTAGAGGGTAAAAAGCATAGGTGTACACGACGTACTATCCTTCGCTAAATGAAACTTAGCTCAAGCACTTGACTTTACAAAGGGCTTTTGACGTTATTGCTTCTTACAAGCTTCTTTGATAAACAAGATAAATATATATACGACCTATAACAATCATTATCGATTACAAAAAAATACGGCAAAAAAATATGAGAACTGGTTTTTGATGCCATGCAGTCTGTTCACTTATCGCATACTAGCACGCGCCCGTCGGCTTCATTGCTTGTTGCACGCATACATTGTGCAAGGTTGAGAAAAGGAAAAAGTATGCAGAACTGCATATTTAATATATAAGATTGACTGAATCAAAAGTAGTGACAATATATTCGTAATTTTATTTTAAATCAATAGTAACAATTTTAAAATATGTTTGATTTTTTTTCTCCCAGTAAGTATGCAAACACATATTGGACACAACTTTGAAGAAGAAAAATGAAAATATTTAGAAATAATAATATTCGGAGGTTTAACATAACAATTTTTTTTCATGAATAATAAACAAAAAATCCTGGCATTACTATGATTATTTAATGTCAAAATGAACAATGAATTGATAACTTTCTACTCTTACTTATGAGTTTTGTGAAAACACAAGTTTTTTAGAAAATATTTTGAGATTTGATTTGAGTATTTGGAAATCACATTTCTCAATGATGATAAATTGCTTTTCAAAGAATTATCAATATTGATACAAAATTATTATCTTTACATTTTACTATAGATAAACAAAATGCCTTTAGAATCACACTCACACACAGACACACACATACACACACACACACACACACACACACACACACACACACACACACACACATATATATGCACAAGTTTGGAATGGTATTTTAAATTTTCTATTGACGTAAGTTTTCATTTTTAAAACAAGTTTCGAAAGATAATTAAATTATATTGAGATAGTATGAAAAGTGGATATGTGTTGGAAATGCAATCCGAAATATGACGTACCCGTTGTGTTGTTTACCACCGATATACGCAATATATCAGTCTAAGTCAGAGGCTCGTCTTTTAATCGAGTTCGTGATTTAACGATTAAGTGATATTTTTATTTGATTATCTGGCATATCAGTAGCACTTTGATCAGCGTAATTTTTTGTGACATAGGCAAGATGAGACACTTCTTATGCCATTTCAAATCAAATCAAAAAATTATTACTTGTATACGATAAAAATGTTTCGCATAATTTTAAAATTATTTTTAAAATAACTTTAATAATTTTAACAAATAAATTTGCAAGTTTATTTTAGTAAACTTACAATGATCATAAACTATGACAAAATTGACGTTTAAAGTAACATACTTAGGAGTATTTACCATGAATCAAATCAAAGGTCAAATTAATAATTTAATCATTTCTATTTCGCGATATCTGTTTGTGATAATAACACTTTCTTTTATTATGCAATCATGTTTTGACAACCTTGCGATGAAATTTGAGGAGTTTTCTTGAATATTACGTATTATCCCTGGTATATAAATGTTTTAAAAATCACTGTCCCAGCATATTTAACAAACGTAATCGTTCATCAGCATTTCGAGTCTGGTGAAGTGTGCGCTATTATCATTAGTCGATTGACAATAACATATTTGTCTATTGAAGGAATGAATAAAGTAATTATTTATCTCTTTTTATTGACTGTGTGATTTTATTCTGAGCATAATTATGACGAAATAGTATCAGTGGACACGAGTTTCGAAAGTGTCAAGGTTGTAGAAAATAATAAATCATTCAAAGTTTACACTTTCATATCGCAAAACATTTTTTGGAATTTGCTTAGTGATTCGGTATACCGTGCAACAAACATCTTTCTTTCTAATTATTGAAGACATTTTCGTAATCATCGTTACGCGAGTCAACATTCTTGGCTTTTTTTCCATGCAACAAGTATATTTTTTGTAAATTATTCAACCTTGCACGTACATGTTATTACACTTTTCTCATAATTGACATGCCTCACAAGAATATTTGTGTTTTAATCGATATATTATTCTGAAATAGTTTTAGTAAAAAGCGTCTTAGTCAGTCATCAATATCATCGGAATTTTCCGTAAAATAAAGTTAAGTAAATGAAAAATTGACCTCGCAAAATATTTTCGTTTTTGTTTCTAAAATACTTAAAATTGTATTGTTACTTGAGAGTCTTGTTTTGAGTGCCTTTAGCGCGCTTTGTAATTGTCACAATTTATCATGATGTCGATAAAATTATTTTTTTTGGAACATTGTTTCATAATAGGACTAACAAACAAAACTTTATATTCTTCGTGCGTGATACTGTACGTGTACTAAAGCTTAAATCATATCATGAAATCATCAAAGTGATTAAATTAACCCTACATTTCGGTGAACCACGACCGATTCATATGTTCAGTCTCTGCTCTTATCTGTCGTACCTATTTATATTTCTTCTTGTTCCCAATATTATCTTTAGCAAATTTCATTGATAGTCTTGTGAGAGAAGTTTTATATGAAACTTTATATTTTCGGAATTTTAATCAATAAACTGATTGATAAGCCGAAGCATATGTCAACATTTTTATACATTGAAGTTATACTTGAACCGTAATGGTGTCTACTTTTTTATGAATGATTTTGTGCTGAAAGTGTGCAATAATTACTTGCCACGAAACGATAATCCTGGAGATGCAAGTATATACTCGTCATTTTCGGTCGCGATGACGAAAGAGAAATTTTATAGTTCAAATCATAAATAATTAAATAATGCTGTCAGTTAAAAGCGCGTACAGTGGTGATTCATCCGGTACATGCAGTGGGTCAACAGCGGCATATTGCATGCGGCGGCTGAGAGTCTGGCTTGGCTTCCGCGAAGAACGCGCTACATGGCCCCGGCAATGCACACGCGGCTGCATTATTGAATATCGCATGCGTTATCGCCTCGTAACTTTCCATTCGCATGCTGCTCGCGACCTTAAGCGTCTTAATATTTTCTTGGCTCTCGCAGAGCTACCGACGCCGTTGCCGCTATGCATTTCGTCGCCGCCGGTTTTCCCCCTCTTATTATTCTCGACGGCTCTTTTATTTACGAGCGGCATTGCGGATATAAGCATTTGCGTCCGCCAGCACTAGGAGAATAATGTTTATCAACACTCTGGGACTTTTCAATCTCGATCTTCTGCTTCATAGCGGCTATATGATGATGATCATTCGCGGAAATTGCGCGAGTTACGAGTGGATCGCGCCATATATGTTGATCAATGCATTTCCTTCGTGTAACTTTTTTTGTACCCGACGCTATCTAGCATTGAAGTTTTTGTCATCGTTATACTGAGTTTTTCATGTTGATGGAAACTCACGCGCACTACGATCTATTACGAGCGAAAAATCCGTTGCAAGTCTTAGTAAATTTTAATGTTTTATTTGTTTTTTGTTTTTTTCTGTTGTTTTTTAGACATGCTAGCCAAGTTTACAGACAAATTACATCTTAACTCTCGTTGATTAAATTTTAACTGAGTACATTTCAATCTTATACGACATTCTTCAAATACGCATTTCTCAAGACTATTCTGATTCAGCTATTGAGATTCTAATGTGAAATTGAATATTCTATTCTAACTAGCTTTGCAAAATAGAGTAAGTTCAGCCTCAAGCACGGAACAATCACAGCATAATAAACGTAAGCTCGGCAGATAATTCCTTTCGTTATAGTTGAAACAATAAATTAAACAATTTGGATTTTGACTCAAACTATGCATTTCTATATGTCATATGACAACGTGCTTAAAGAAAACTTACATTATTTCATCTACTCTTGACATTGACGTCTTTAAGCCAAATTGACCGATGATTTTTTTTTTCATACGCTTATTATATAATAACAAGATTTATTCAACTGTAATGTGCATTTCATATATTTATTTACAGATGGGTTTCAAAGCGATGTAGTTTTGTGGTGCCGATTATTCTTGCCTGTCGCATTAAAGAGAATTTACAATCTTCAAAGTAAAGCATTAATCAAACTGTTTTCGCGTATTCTCAAGCAGGATGAACAAGCAATGCTTGAGGATTTGGAACAAGGCGACGTAGCCGAAACGATAAAGGCCTTTTATGAAAAAAGCTCGGCAACAAAGCCACAAAATACCAGCACTCTTACTTTGCAGGAGGTAGGCGTATATATACATATACATATAAACGTAACGTAGTAAATTTCAATATTTTCAAAGATACACGAATATACTTTTTGTCAGGTAACTTAATCCCCCACGAGCTTTAAAACTTCCGATATTCGCGTAGTTTGCCAGAGAACAGCCATATAGGTAGATGCATCCGTGGGCACGTTTAGAATTTATACGCAACTTGTCGAATATATTAATCGAAGAATAAAAGATGCTCATTCTCGTTAAGCTTTTTTGCAAAGGTTATTTTATTATTATTTGCGAAATCCCTTTCTAATAAAATTTACTCGCGATAGCGACTTCTCCTTTTTTCTTTTCACTCTTGGCTACGTGACGTCAAAGAGCTTTACCGCTGTTGCGTAGGTCTATTTCACTCTCTGCCTTTCTTTTTCTACCCTGCACGTATGATACCGATTTGTCGGTGAATTGAAAGAGCGCACGCGAGTTGCATCGATTGATCGTGACGGGCGCAACAGGGTAGGAGGGAAAAAATATAGGCGCATATAGTCGCTGCCGCTGCCACCATTCGTACAGGCGCACTCGGTTACGACGATTTATTGGCTGGAGCTTGCAGGACGTGCGTAAGCTATATGCACTGCTTGTGTGTCACACTTCAAGTTTTAAAAGAATGTATTATCGACGGGTATGCAATTCGTTAAGCTTCCCGCTTTAACTCAATGCGATCTTTTTTTTTTCATTCGTTTCTTTTCTCTTGTTAATTGATCTTGGAGTTGACGTAGACTGTAGGAAATTCTTGTTACGCAATTTATCGTTGAATCAGTCAGCCAAACGTTGCAGAAACCAGCGTAGAACTAGAATGGTTTCGAAGCTACGTAAATGAGTCAATAGCTTGAGATTTTACATTCAAATAAGCGTAATGAGGTACTTGTGTTTGCTAATTGATATACGTCATAGGTCGATGAATTTCTGGAAAAGTTATCAACACTAACGAAGGAAGACGAGCAAATTTATCATTTCAAAACAATTATTAGAAGGTACCTTTTCATTCTACTGACAGTTGGTTTTTTTCGTGCGGACTGAACAATGAAAAATTATGAATGAACTTTCAGGTGCACCGCCGATGATTTAAAAATGTTAATACGCCTCATCAAGCATGACTTGCGAATAAATGCCGGACCAAAGCACATGTAAGTTAAGTAACGTTTCGGGATATTACATTTTCCCAAATTTGCTAAAAGCGTATTACAAGTAATTATTTTCGAAATACCTAGACTTGGGGCTGTTCACGACGACGCCTACGCAGCATTCCAGGTATCTCAGGACCTTCCAACGATCGTGCGACGTTACTTTGGAATTTCATCAGGCACATTGATCAACTCTGTTGGTGACAGCAGCGCTTCAACATCCGCTTTGGCGAAATCACCACGAGTTGCCAGTCTCGCCCTTATGACCCCCGTGTTACCGATGCTCGTATGATCGCTTTTTTTTTTCTTCCGTCTTTAATGGATCAATTTATCTTTATCTTTATAACCGAATTTTTCGCGTTCGATTACGCAACCAAATTTGCGTAAGTTCTGTTTTTTGCTTGTAGTGTGTCGCCATTCGATATATTTTCATCGTATGACGTGAATTTAAATTCAATCGTGGTCTTTTTTAATATCTTTGGAAATGTTCTAGGCAGAGGCTTGTAAATCCGTCGAGATGGCTATGCAAAAGTGTTCTAATGGCATGCTAGCTGAGGTAAAGTACGACGGAGAACGAATACAGGTGCACAAGCATGGGAATGATTTCCGGTATTTTAGTCGATCATTGAAACCCGTCCTGGCACACAAAGTACGTATTCTGATGAAAATATTTTGAATGTGTCATTTATCATGTAGAGATATGTACAATACTTCGGAAATAGTTTGATTTATCAATTTAAAATACTGTGGCAATGTCCGTGGGAAACTCGATGATTCAAGCGTTCGAATTGGCCGATTATGCAGAAATTGTGCAAGAATCCATAAAATTGATATGTGCTAGCGAAGAATGCGAGTCGAATTGAATTCCAGAATGTTCGCCTACGAATCTCTCTCTCTTTCTCTCTCTCACTCTCATGGACGTTGAAGCTCACGCGCCGATTAAAAATCAGAGCGGCTATCTGCTAAATACGTCTGTCAACGGTTTGCTGACTCAGCAGATGTGCGCATCTAAATTTCACGTATCAAAATAAAACTCACATGTTCTACTGACCAGAGACACGAGACTTTAGAAAAATTTTTAGATAGTCTATAACCTAGATTTTCTTTTCCTTTCCCCTTCTATTTCGCGACACTTGCAGCCAAATAACGTGGAAGTGGTGAGAGCAGTACTTATGAATTGTATTGCTAACGAGTATTTTCCTATGTAATTCTAAGAAAAGAAAAAGCTTCATTGAATATATATCCCCGGGGCGTACGTGCGTGGCCTGTTTACGTGCGTAAAGAGCTTTCACAAGGTGGCATGCAAGCTAAGATACTTCCCCGTTGACATAAGCTTGCACTTCTGCGTCAAAGGAGCTGAAAAGCTACCAATACTACCTCTGTAAGGGAAAGTATCCGATTCTATTTCGTGGAATGATTCCGCGCTTGTGCACTATAGCGAGAAATGAAAATAGAGAGTGAGAGCGGAAATGAGCTAGAAAAGACGTAGATACAATTAATGATTTTGTTTGCTTCCTAATTCTGCCTCAGCATACTATTTGACGCTTGATGAATGATTCGGAAAATAGCTTGACGTAAATACGTTCATTATTTTTTTACAAACTCTAGCCGCTTGGATATTATTACCCTCACTGCGTAAGCAAATTCGACTCGGTTCCTTTGTTTTTTTTTACGTTGCTATTACCTTTTCACGTTAATTTATACTTTGTACTTTCACCATTATTAAAAATTTAGTGTACAAGATTGGAGTAAGGGAAATCTTGATTAGTAATATAACTGCTATTATTTCAGTAGCATCGATTAAAAAAAAACACAATTATCGGCTAATATTTTCGATTGATTAAAAAACACAAATAACGGTTAAAAATAACACGTTGTGCCATATGCGTAATTAATTCTCTTTTATAACGTAGAAATGTACTCTAAACAACTTTCAAGTTTGGTTTCCAATAATTTACAATGTATTTGAGCACATTCATATTTCGAGAGAGCACATTATATCTTATTTATAAATAATAACCATCCTTATGGTTTATTTGATTTTCAAGTCAATTTCTTCTTTTCTGTACGTGTGCTTCCGTTGAAGTAATGTTATTGCAGAGTGTTAAACTTTATTTAAGTTACTTTTTTTAAATAATGTTAAACTTTATTTAAGTTTCGCACGCCCCTAAATTTTTTTTTTCAAGCAACGTGATCGAGGATGATTTAAAATTGTAAATTAAAACAAAATTTTAATGTCAGTCTAACAAAACATAACGTCTGACTAGCGTCTAGTTTCTACTACTTTGTACCAGATTTCACTGAATTCACGGGGTATCAGACGATTGACAAGGAATTACTGCCTACGATTAATCTTAATCAATAAACCAAAAAGTTAGAACGCCTTAAGGATACAGTTGCTTCAAGGATTCGTATTACAAGTAAAGAATGTATGTTACAGGTAAATTTTTTAAAAGAATACATACCCAAAGCATTTCCACATGGCGATGATTTAATACTTGACGCTGAAATACTCTTGATCGATACTCGAAACGGTCAGCCCTTACCTTTTGGGACGCTAGGTGTACATAAGGTTAACGCTTTTATACACTGCTATTGCAATTTAATTTTTTTTTTCTGCAAAATAATATAACATTCTCTCGCATTATTTTTAGAAAGCTGAATTTAAGGACGCAAACGTATGCTTATTCATTTTTGATTGTATTTACTACAATGGGCAATCTTGGATGAATCGGTAAGTTGAAACGACATAACTACACAACCAATTCAATGTTTTAATTTACAAATAATCTATTTTGAAGAACTATGAAGGAGCGTAGGCAATTATTAGAAGAAAAAATGACACCTATAAAAAATATAATTGTTCTATCTGAAGTTCAGGAAATAAATGTAAGTTAATGTATGAATAATAACACATAAAACCATTGATCTTCAAGTATTTATCATAATAGTTAATAATAATTTCATTTTATTTCCAGGATTCTAAAACATTAGCTGAGCTTATTGTAAAAGTATTAAAACTCGGTCTTGAAGGATTAGTTTTAAAAGATGTCAATGTAAGTATACGTTGACGTGAATATTTTTGCCTACAATTTCATATAATTAAGTATAATATTTTCTTTACACGCAGAGTCAATACGAACCTGGAAAGAGGCATTGGTTGAAGGTAAAGAAGGATTATTTATTTGAAGGAGCCATGGCCGATAGCGCAGATCTCGTCGTTCTCGGCGCTTGGTATGGCACTGGTCAAAAAGGTAGGAAAATTTGGAAATATCTTTTTGAAATGTTATAATACTATCCTTCTTAATTATATACCATCTGCTAGACGTGTAGAATTCAATAAATTATTATTCATGCGTGACTTTTTTTAAAACGCTTGATTCCTTTTAGCGATACGGCAATCGTAAATTCGTTGATATGATTCAAAATAAATGCTAATTCTTTATTTCATTGCATAGGTGGAATAATGTCAGTATTTTTAATGGGTTGCTATGATACTGAACATGATATATGGTTGACAGTGACGAAGGTAACGCATATATTAATGTTCATCTTTATAAACCTCGATACAGAATATTTTAGGAGTGTGTTCAAAATGATATATTTCATGTGGATAGGTGCATACCGGCCATGATGATGCTACTTTGGTTGAACTTCAGAATACTTTGGATATGGTAAAAATTGGTAAAGATCGTAATCTTGTTCCGAGGTGGTTGAAAGCAAATAAGCCAATGATCCCGGATTTTGTTGCACGGGATCCAAAGGTATTTTGTTATTTATTCAAAAAAACTACCTTTCAATAACTTTGAGTATATTTGTTAACTTGAATAATAAACTTATTTTAATCAAACGACAAATCATAATGTAGGGATATTTTTTTCAAAGATAAAATATTTATGAATAAGAAATACTTAATTCCTTTGTTTTCTTTTGTCGCATGAAAATATTTATGATAATCCATTGAAACTAATTATCAGAAACAACCAGTATGGGAGATCACGGGTGCTGAGTTTACTAATCAAGGGGTGCACACTGCTGATGGTATCAGTATAAGATTCCCTCGGGTGACACGCATTCGTGATGATAAGGACTGGCAAACAGCAACCAATCTGCAGGAACTGCGAGTATTATTCAACAGAAGCTCAGAGTCGGTTGATTATTCCCTGTTACTTGGTTCTATTAATAATAAAAGGGCTTTCAATGAGGATGATGAGCCCACGATAAAAAAAAAACCAAAGAAACCAAAGCCTTCCGATGACAAGGAGCATTATTCATCTGAGGACATCAACATGGAAGAAGACGACGAAGAATCTGTTGAGAAGTTGGATAGCAAAGTTAAGATGGAAATCACAGAAATAGATAAACATAAGGAAGTTAGAAAGAGGACATCCGACAAGAAAAAATCACCGAAAAAATCACTTGGTAAATTGATGCAATGCTGTAATGATAATCAGAGAGTTAAAAAGGAGGAAGAAACTGAAACTTCTACTTCTTTGCATGACGTTGTGAATAAGAAGGAGAAAGCGGATTTTTATTCTTTTATCGGAACTGACGTGAGTACAAAGATCACGTATTCCCGCTTTGTTTTCAAGTAGTTATAACTTGTCAGCGATGTCTTTTAAAATTGCAGTATATTGAATACAATGCTGCGGGAAGCCCCTTAAATTGGATAGAAGGTCGGAAACCACCGAAGCACTTGCCAAAGGATGCTAAGCCCATAACCGAACGAGATGAAACTAAATTTGTACGTTGAATACACACACATGCGCAAACATATATAATAATTCGATATATTTATTCAGCAACATCACATATTTTTAAACAAAATTCATATCGAAAAAAATGGAATTCGTATTAAAAATTGACAAATACTTGTATCAATGTATATTTACTATTCGTCCGATCAGCAAGACAGTATAGGAACCGCGTTCGATATTTGCTTGCATTTTTCTTTTAAGGGAAACTATTTTACGAAAGTTGAATAATTACTTTATTTTTCAGAGATCTCGTTGCTTATTAGCAGACGTATGCGTTTGTTTGGCTAAGGACTTGAGCTACGAGAGGAGGAACATTCTGCGGCGAACTCTAAAGACGTATCCTTTCAATGATTTTTTTAATCTCACGTTGGATTGTTTTCTCAGATCCCTCTACTGGAGACTAATGAAAGTGAAACTTCTATAATAATTAAGTTAGTTAACCTGGAAGCTTCATTCATTTCTCTTCATGAAGATAGATCGTTATTTTCATTCCATTCAGCAGCTAGTTTTATGCTTTTAACACAAGAAAACATACTAAAGCTCATTGCATTTTGTTTGACAGTTTATCAGACAAAACATTGCTAGATGACTTGTTTCATTTCGCTTGGAACTCAAATATTTCATATCTAGAAATGGACTATGAATTAAATGCTTAAAACTGAAACTTTTAGTAATGATTGGATATGTTTACTGACGCAAAAAAACATTATTTGAATGTGAATACTAATAATTACTAGTATAAATATAATCTATAACGTTTTTTAAAAACTCTTATTTTGAAACTTTTCAGCACAAAAAAGTAAAATTATACGTAGATCGAATTAAGAATCAAAAAATATCAAAATTTTATGCCTAAATAGAAATTTTAAGTTTGAAGCTTAATATTTGTATTTAATAAAAAAAAATAATAAATTTAATGTCTTTTGAAATTACAGTAAAATAATATTGTTTCAAAGTGACCTTTTATAATCACCAATATTTTGAATTATCATCAATATCTTGAAAGCTTATATAATTATAAAGAATAAACGTATAAAAATATTTCAACCGCAAATACGATGTTTATTACGGGATAAGTAGTCATCCAAACGGCAATATTTCTCTGCATTATTTTACTTTGTTTCGATCGAATATTAATTTATTAAGAGAAAATGAAATTTATTTACGCAATAAAAAGTCATTCAAACGGTAACATTTATCTGCATTATTTTACTTCGTTTCGATTGAATATCAATTTATTAACATATAATGAAATTTAATTTTAGCTTTGAAGTGTTCAATAAAAATCAATTTTCGATTAGTTTGCCGTAACTAATGGAAAATTTTGATGCGTTTTCCCTCAGCAAAAAATACCTCGACTGAAATATCGCATACTTTTCTTTCCCATCGTAGATAAAAGTTCTAGCTAGTTGCGAGTGTTGTGTCACCCAGGAATTCACATAGCGTTACGGTAAAAACATAAAAGGTTGTAGTTTGTTCTCATGTGACTTGGTAGCGCTTGGTATTCTGCGACGGATCGAATGCTCCCCCTGAAATTGGAACATAACATGCGTAGCTGTGTTCTACACAAAAGAATGCTGAGACTTTCTATCTAACCACTCAAGGGACCAAAGGCCATCTGTGCACGTACATTTTTCCTCGGACGAATACTAGCGTATATTTCGGCGTCATCAAGAGTCGAAGGTTGACTTGCCATGGACAAATTTTGTGAAAATATGTGACTGGTAAAATTTTTTTGAGGTGTAAGGGCTGGGAAGATATTGTTTACTCCTGTTGAGTAAGGGTTTTTTTGATAAAAACTTTAGCCTTCAAAATAACAGGCACATTTGGCTGTGTTTTATATTATGTTCATTCGTAGTCTAAATGAAAATCTCAATTAATCATTGATGTCTTTAAAGTTGTATCACAGTGTAACTAGAGCTTACTTGTTTGAAATTTAAAAACTTTTTGATATCAGTTTATGATTTTCTTATGTATATTTATGGTTAATTCATTCGAATACGTCAGCTTTAAATATTCAGAGCAAATATTTTCTCCATTCCTTTAAAGTATTAGAATAGGTGGCGTTGTGGGAAATGAAATTTTTCTTTTACTTCTCTGTACTGTCTACATTCGAACCGTTTATAGAATTTATGTTTTCTTACTGATCGATTTTGGACAAATGATATTGAGGCGAGTAAGAAATTAATAAAAATTTACTAAAACTATCATTCATTTGGATACTTACGAGAGCAATTTTTCCTTAATCACTTATTGTATGTGATAACGCAGACTTGGTGCGACGATTTTACCGAAAATGGAGCAATCCCAAGCGACTTACGTGATTCATGGAGTCTCGCAGGTGCCTGCAACGATTCTTCTGGTAAGTAAGAGATTATAAAATATTTCAACCATTTATATTATTAGTAATATCTAGAGTGTCTCGCGCGCTCATCTTTTTTGTCTTTTTTCACATTTATTAAAATACACGATCAAAGCTCAAAATTTTTATTGTCGACATAAAACAATCGAAAATTCAATATGTATTAAATATTCCTTTGGTTTGATATTTGATATAGTCAACGTTATTATTTATTGATAAATAAATATTCAATTATATTAATACTCATGATTTAAAAATGTTATTAATAAAGTTTTAAGTTTTTATCATTCCAAGTTCTGTGTTGAAGAATTATCTTTTAAAAGTTTGAAAAACAGGATAAAAAATACATGTTCTAAAAACATTATACTTAGTTTTCTATGATCATATCCTTCACGATGTAAAGAACATACTTCGGTATAGACGTTCACGATTGTGATTAGTGCACTTTTTTTCTTTAAATTTCTAATACTTAACATAACTTAATAAACCAATAAAAAATAATCTATCGATTTATCTTTGTTATTGTTTACTTTGTTTATCTATACTTTTCTATAGAGCAAAGTTCAATTAATTTCTCTATTGAGGTATTAGTCGGTTTTTATGATTAAATCAATCAATTCATATTAAATTCATACCAACTATACCGATACACTTTACGAATATTTAATCATATACGAAAATCTGCATTAATCTTTCATGAGCATGCACGTCATATGTAAGCTATCACATTGCAATTGATCACGTGACTATCTTTAAGCAAATCAAATCACGAATAAACTGGTTTTCACTTTGTCAGGTTTATCTCTTTTTTTATAAGAAGAAGAGGATTTTGTTATAAAAGGAATAGGAAACAAAATACATGACTTACAGCTTTTTGTCTCATTCATTACAGTTTCAACGGGAATAAAAAACCTCAATAAACCGCTCGTAAATTATAAATGATTAATATCATTCGATTCCTATCCTGGCAGTGATTTATCGTTTCGTTCTTTAAACCGTAACAGAATGTGGGAATTATTTTGATTATTTTAACGTAAGAAAGTATTGTGGTTAATATTTTTACTGGAATGTAAATGTAAATAAATAAATTCGTTAGTGTTATCTGCCGACTATTATTTACAGTGGCAGATTAGGTCGTTCAAATATTTGCAAAACACGTAGACTTAATTAGCTAACTAAGGCTGATTACATTTTACAAGAGATTAGAATCAAGAGTATTATAAGATTTAAAGAGATTTAGGAACCGCAATTGAGCTTTTTATAGCTGATAGCTTGCTGAATTTGTTAATGGTGAACAGTTGCATGAAATCTGAAGTACTTGTCAGTAACATAGTGAACAATGCGTTTGTGACTATTGGGCTCAATGAAGTAGTAACCTTTGACGCGATCGCTATCAAGGCTCTCCTCTTGCGACTTGATATCACCAGTGTGATAGTCTTTGAATTGGTAGGTGAATTTGTATTTTGGCTGAGAATATTATTCTTCATGAAAATCTTGCTGAGCCAAGTGCGGTCACAAACAATAGGGTGGACAGGATGACGAACTGCGTAACACAATTTTATCGATTAGTTTTTGCGCGGATATTATAGGACAATGAGGGACACTGGTTTTCAAAGCTTTTCAACATTTTTTAAACTAACATTTGAATTTCTATAAATAACTTGATTGAATTGCGGACTTTTCTTTATTGCTACACGTTTTATTGTAAAGATGCAAAGCTTAATTTTCGCCTACTTAAAGTTTGTTAGAGACAATTTTACAAAATTTTTAGGTATATAATTTATTACAAAAAACTTGCTTTCAAAGACATTTTTATTATTTACGTAACTCGGGCTGATTTGTTCGATTGAATTGTCCCTTGATTGTTTGATGCAGTAACCGACGAATGTAGTTTTGAGCAGATCATAGAATTTATATGTATAAGCTGCAGGTCCCACGTTGCACAAACAGGTACTCATTCGACATTGCATTGCAAGTGCATCAAGAGCCCCAGTGCGACAGGTTCGCGTAACCTAAAAACTGTACCGGGTAGAGAAGAAGAAAGATCAAAACAGCAGAAGCGGATAAAACGGCTTTTGTACACGCGTGACCTGCAATACATTACGGACGGGCAGCCCGTTGATATGTATATATAATCAGTGTATTCGGATTTATTTTGTCAACAAAAATTCATTTTGTTGGCCAATAGTATTGGGTAATAGGAATTCACCGGCGAAATAATGAATGGACCGTTTATGAAAAAGATTATGTATTGAAATAATTGTTAAATTTCACTGATACTTTAAGTGTTGTATTAATTAAAAAAAAACGCTTCTATGTATCGTTCTTTTTTAGTGACTGAGTCTGAAATTTTTTTATAAATAAGACCACACCTGTGTGATCTAAAAATAATTGAAAGACATATAGCTTTCGCCATGCCACGGCGAATGTAAGTATATCAATTTGATGTACTTATAAGTATATAGCTACTGTTTAAATAGATTGTCCTAGATTTAATTTACTTCCATGTGTGTTATATACCTAACAATACATTTTATATAGTAGGATAACGTCACCTATTGCGGATTTCGCGAAGTATACTATAGTAACTTTTTTCAAGTTTATGCTTAAATGGAATTTGGTATAAGAAATATTAAATTTACGTTTTAATATGTTTTTTAATAATAGTTTTTAATTAATAATCAAATTGATCTCGTTAAAAATTTGTCTTTAAGATTTAAATCTCACAATCACTTATAGTCTCCATAATCTAGTACAACTTTATCTCGAAATATAAAGATACTGGCGACTAATTAAACTAATTAGAACGTGGAAATCATTTCTAGCTTTATCTGGCAAGTTCTCGTTCCGTTATACGAGGTCTGTCCGGAAAGTATCGGGCCTACGTTTATATCTTCACGCCATAGTGTTCGAGCGACCTCTACCGGACAGAAACGTCAACAGTAAAGCCTCACGAATCTATTGGTTACTTACTGACACCTGCCGGACGTATAGTTCATGCGCAGCGTGTCTTTGTTTACAGTGCCTTTTTCGCGTTCGTCAGATTTTGATATTGTCAAAAATGATTGAAAAACAAGATCAACGAATTTGCATCAAATTTTGCTTTCAACTCGGAAAAACGAGTTCGGAAACTATTGAAATGATGCAAAAGGCCTTCGGAAGCGAGTGTATGAGCAAAACATGAATAAAAGAGTGGTATAAACGGTTCAAGGATGGTCGCACTTCTGTCGATAGTGATTCTCGTTCCGGCCAACCTTCGAAGACAAAAACCGCAGATAATATTGAGCGGGTGCGACTTGTAATCGAACAAGATCGTTGTATGACTGTGCGAGAACTAGAAGAAGACCTTGGGATACCAAAAACTATCATTTCGGAAATTTTAACCGAAAATTTAGGAATGAAACGCGTGTGCACGAAAATATAAAGGTAGACCCGATACTTTCCGGACAGACCTCGTAATAACACCAAAAGTTTTTTGACTTGAATTGGCAAAAAATATAGAAAATATACAAAATCATAATTACTATCCATTGAATTTTATAAGAAAAACAAACTAAATTGAATATTTGAAATATAAAGATAACGACATGACATTGATATAAATATGTCGCCTGTTAAAATATGAATTAAACAAATGAAAATAATGTTATATACTGATAGAATTCCATTAAGTTGTTGTCGATTTTTCTTTTTTACGTAATAATTTCCGAAAATTCATTATTATTTCAAAATGATATCAGTTTACCATTGGCTTTTTATTGGGTTTCTCATTAATTCACAAATTTTCAGATATTCAGATATTTCACTTGATAATTTTGATGTTTGTGTTGGCGTAACATTAACATTGAAGTATTGATATTTTTTTATTGCAGGAAAATGCTGATGTATCCAAGACAGCAAGGCACGTGACGGAGTCCTGGATAGAAGCTACTATCACTCACTGCAAAGTTCAGAATCCAGTGGAACATGCGGTTACTTTGACGGGAGTTTATTGTTCCTGTCCATGCTCACACACCGGTAGAGCAAACTCATGACTGTTGATCGTTCACTATAAAAATGTCACCGTTGGTAATTCGTAATTACTTTTTCATGATTAAAATTACATAAATCAATTTTTGTTTGCATAGCTATATGCACAGAATGTACTTTCAAGGAATAAAAAAGCTAATTTGATTTTCATTATGAGCGTATTTTAATGGAAAGAGTAGTAAAATAGACGAAATAAACACGATGAGACTTGTATGAATTCTCTAAGCAACAATCGGACGCGCTTATGAAATCAATCTTCATAGTATTGAGAAGAAATCCTACAGCTTGAAAAAACTTTCCTCTCGATAAAATTGAGTCTTGCAGCATCGAAGATGGATTTGCGTTACAGCATCCCCAAGGTCACCACCTTTCAAAGGCTTCAAAGATTTACCTCTGGTGTAGATATATATCTCTCTCACTCTCTTGCGCTACATTATTTCTGTGGTCTTTTTCTTTCGTCGTCTTCCTCTTTAAACAAGATTTATCTCGTGCTAAAACGTCGAGGTTACGCTTGGTGGAAAGTGCAACTGAATTGATGTACACTCCAACTTTATTCAATTATCGCTTTACTAATATTAAAATATGATCATCCTTGGATGAATAGACGAAACTTTCAGCAGAGAAATGAAATGCATTTAATTTATTTGATAAAACTAATTGGTTGTAACTTTTACCTCTTATTGGGTCAAATTTTATTTTAAACAAATAAAGGCAGTCTTATTATACTATTAATTTTATTTTAGAATATTATGATGCTATAAGGATTTAATAATAACAACAAAATTTATCGACGTTCTGTATTTTTTATAGTACAATGAATGTTACAGGATAATACTACAAAATGAATAATAATATTATAATTATTTTACATTCAGAAAATATATGCTAATACCAAACATTAAATATTTTCGTTAAAATTTTTTCGACACTCCGTGCGCAAAGTACGTCTTTCCTGCACGCTTAGCGAAAAGCGAGCGTTAAACATTGTACTTTCCACAAATCGTATCGAAAAAAACGTTACAACACATGTACGGGAAATAGTTTCCCGTTTCTTGTGCCTTTCCACTCTCGCTTCGCTCGGGCGTAAACGCTAAATCAAGAATCTACGACAAGAATCTTCTTTACTGCACTTGCATCGTAATGTACTGTTCAGTACTTTTACTTTTCATACTATTTGAAATTGAAGCGAATGTGGAAAAAATATTTGAAGTATCTTTTTCATTATTATTATTCCAGTATTAAACTATATTTCATCTTTTACAAGCTTTATATTTAAAAATTGGAAGTTATCAACTAAAAAAACATCCTAAATCTGCCATATACCATATTAACATTTTGCAAGAAAAATATATTCTCTCGAACATTTACATTTTTTTACGAGTACTTCATACTTGTTGATTAATTCAAGCTATATTTGTCCAAAGCTACAGAATATCAAGCATGAATGAATTATCTATTACTTATGCGTACGAATATTAATCATTTTGAAGTAGCTTATTGACATTTATATTGACTAGTTACATATTTTTAAGTTACTTAATTGTCTATCGATTAATATTCAATCTTAATATTCAATCTCTTCTCCGAAAATCAATCTCTTTCTAATTGAAAATACTACTACTAGACATCTAACGCAGTATTAAAGAAAAATCTAGTGTTTTCAATTTATTTTATTCGGAACCTCTGAAAATATAGCTCTGTCGCGTAATTTCAACAAAACTTGGATATAAATAATGTAAATATTAACAATTATATAATGATAACGGTTTCATCCTGTATAATGTATAACACTTTAATCGAAACAAATATCCCGATAATTCATGCGGAAAGACGACTACGGTAATCAAAGGTAAAACGTGCATAGTCAACTTATAGTGATGATTGTTGTTGGTAGTAAAAAAGTAAGATACAAGTAAGAAAAAAAAAACTACTTGGGTAACATCGAATGACAAGGACGTGGGTCCATCAAAGAATAAGCAAACGTGCTTGTGCCAACCGCCTATGTCGACACCCTCGGGTCGTTTCATTTATTTCTTTTGACTTTTCTCATTTACTTTTTTTTGCCAAAGCATGAAACAGCGTTGAAGGCACATTGCCTCCAATAGTTGCGCTTACGCTGCAAATCATCGACATCAGCTTGAGTGCGAAGTCTTTTGACAAACCTCCTTCCAACGAGATAGTTCAGCAAATCCCTTTCGACTTGCGCTTGTTCGTCGTCGCCTATCATCTGGAACGCGAACAAAAAAAAATTAACTTTGCCTGTTTTCTTTTCTTATTTATACTACTGCAACACTTTCACACACTTTGAATTCGGTGTTCGGTAATTATGGATTCTTAACATTTTACGAGTTAGACGTACGTTTTATTTCTCTGGTAAACAAGCTTTCTGTACTTCCGTTTGAAGTTTCATAATCAACGAGAATAAAATATCTTAATGATAAAGTGGTTGGAATATTTTTTGTGATCTTTTTCATGTTTCCCATGATTCCGTAACAAAGGTTTATTCATACACTTTTCAATATTTGAAGCAGTATAAATAAATTAGAATATTGAGAAGGTGGGTGTAATATATACAATTAATATGGCTACTTTCAGTAAAATTATATCGTATTTCCACCCGATTCATCGATTCAGTTCAAGAGCAAACAAAATTTAAATTATTAGTTTTTATGTTCGATTTATTGGATGGAGAAGTAACAATACAAAGCAATAAGGGTTAATGGAATATCCAATTTTACTACGAATATTGATATAGAATATTAATTTAACATGTAAAGGTCGCAATTTATAAATATACAACGAACGTTATACGATAGAATGTGCTACTATATAATTAGATATGAAGTATCGCTCACGAATAATAACGTGTTTAAACTAGGATTGCATAATTTTATTTTTAAGAAATGTCCAAGAAAGGCAGTAATATATCAAAATGATACTTTGAAGTACAAAATATTGAGGAAATTTAATTTGAAAAATTGAAGTATTTGTGACAGTTACCAAAGAAAAATTCACATTTTTTCATCTAGAAGAGTAAAAGAAATTTTTTCGTTTCATATAGAAACTTTATTAAAAGAAAAAACACACTCTGCGTACAACGACAAAAGTCAGATTAAAATAAACTAGATTAGTACTAGGTCAGCTTGATTTTCCACGGCATCTAGCCATGCAATAATTCCGTTACGATTATTTTCGTTTCTGCATTCAAGTTTTTTACTTTTCCCCAATTCGGAATGAACCACAATAAAATCCAGGCCAACTTTTATTAATGAAATAACTGTTATCCAAAAAATACACCAAGCTACCGGTATACACATATGACCTCTAACTGGATTTTTTTCTTTATATCCCGGGAGACTAGAACGTCTTTCCGTCTTCCTGTCGTTCCTGTGAATGCTATGCCATTATTTCCCTTCCTGCAATCATCCTCTCTATATGGAAAAATTAAATTTATCTCACCTTTAAAAAAAGAGCCAGCATATAAACATCCCGGGTATGATTTCTATTGAATTTGGGAGTTGAATGAGTGATATACAAGCATTGTTCGATGCTGTTGACGCTCGTTTCGTTATTTTCAGAAATTTATTTAACAGACTGATTTTATAAATCGACGGACTTTCAATAAAATATTTTGACGCCAGATTCTCATCGGTGATTACGTTCAGAGAGTAAGCTGTATATTTATATTTGCATAGTTTGACGGTTTCGTGGTTTTTCTGACTATCCAGTGGTGTAAAAAAGCTATGAAATAAAGTTTTGTCATACAGTTTGAGAGTTCTTAAAGAGTTTACTTTACGATGACGTAATAAGTAGTCAAAAACGTTTGACCTTTTCATATATCGATATATTAAGACATACGTTGATAGATGAACGTAAACTTTTTCTTATACTTGTATACGTATGTTCAACAACTGTAATTTATTACTAAATCAACAATACATTTAACAGAAATAAAACAACTAAAAAGTTGAGCGTTATTTGAAAAGCGGAAAGTAAGTCACGTCCGAAAGTTTAATATCAACGGTCTCGTCGCGTAACGCATCATCATTCGACACGTTCTCTTTTTTTGTTTTATCGGAGTTTTATGGTAATAGGAAAGGACAAAACCACTTTGTTCAAAAGTATACGTAGACATCGTAAACGTCACTATCACAATAAATTATTATGAAAACGTACTCGTAATAGCAATGTCCATGTCAATCACAAATTCATGTTGATATTTTAGTGAATGTGAAGCTTATGCTGGTATTACATGAACATGAAGTCAGCCGTAGAAACGCATGTATTGTAGTTAAATGAAAGATTCGACAATTCAAAATGTTCTGGATATACCTATATTACTAAAGGAGAATCGATGTGTCGAATAGATATCGGCAGATGAAAGTCACAACCTATCGAGAGAACTTTGTCTATATGTTAATGTCACATTTCGGACTATGTATATTATAATCAAAATATAATCATTGTAAAAAATAGTTGCAAGACATAATAGTTTTCAATTGAATTCGATCCAATACATAGAACTCTGCTTTCTAATTGTGTATCGCTTACCATTGCACTTAACTCAAATTTAATTAAACTTGAGATTTACTTTCTAAAACTAGATACTCGTTTTATATTTTACAACAACTAAATAAAAATAATAAAAAATTAGACAACAATTTCTTTACGAAACGAATCTAGGTTTTTATTGCTAACAGAAGCTTGCGAAATAAAAACAAAGTGTCGTCCCCCATTGCCTGAAAAATATTTTGTACATCCAGTTTTGTAAGAACAAATTATGATGAGTTATCTGAGTTTTTCGATATATTCGCGTTTAAAGCAATAAACAAATTCATATGAACACTTGTATAAAGAGAAGATAGGAAAAATATGAAAGTCATTATTCTTCAAAAAATCTATTTGTAATAAAAAAGGATGATAATTGTCGGGCAAAGAAACAGTTAAAAATTAAAAATACTAAAGTTATAAAATGGCAAGTATGATATGAGAAAACTGCATCATGAAGCGTGTGATAAAAATCAAGATATAAAAGTTTCAGGTGTTTTTAATGTACGTTATTAACTTACGTTAAGCTGATTCATAAGCCCCTCCTTATCACCAACTTCTCCGGTCGGAAGTGTGGTGGACCAGTCAACGAGTACTATAAGCGCCACTGCTGTGCAGACGACGATCCTTAATGACATCATTTTGCTTGGCTGAAAACAAATAAACATTCTTATATGCAATCTCCTTCATCCAAGAGTATATCTTGAAGTTAATCCGCCGACTTATTTTACGGAGTATTTTTAACGAAAGAAATTGAACGACATTTCATTTAAATGAAAAAATCATAATAAAATGGGAAAATTCTAGGTATGACTTGCGTGACCGTATTGCAATGTAGGCAGTTATAGTTATAACGTAGTTACAGATGTGTATTTTCGAAGCTTGCTTGCGGTGTATACTAATTTAACTTCATTAATTATCGCGTTCCGATTGCAGATGATTTCTGAAATGAGATCGGAAGTTCAGTGAAATTGACAGGTAATTGCTCTAAAATTTCCACAGCGAAACGGGTTTAAACATCTTGCATGAGGAAGTTAAGTTTTTTTCCAAGTTTCATCATTTTTTCAGTTGTAAAACTGATGAAATTGAATGAAGATCATATTTGGCTCATTTCAAAAAAGTTTCATCGACTTATAAGGAGCTTTCGCGCTATGGGAAAATTAGACTTTGTTGTCAGAAGAAGAAAATGTACAAATTATATTCCTCCCTTCACTAATGTTATCTCTATACCCTACTGTATCGAAAAAAATACCGAATCCTCTGACGTATTCATTTAGTTATATAATAATGTTTATTGTTCCTCTTTCTTAAATAATTAAATTTATTATCTTTTAGCACAAAGATGATCTTGTAGTTACTCGGTACATCGAAGGAATAATTCACTTTTGATTGATTATGGTGCAAAGACTTTACGTTTCATATAGCATGTATGACGTCACTTTGCGTTAGATACTATCATCGCGATATTTTCAATCATAATAGTAATAAAGCTGTATTGTAATCGTAGAGGGAATATTATGTCATTGATAGTAATAAAAGTGATGAGCACTTTCAACCTTCACTTTCGCTTCATTTATTATTATTAATCTAACTATTCAAACATGTAAAGCTCAAAAAATAACAGCTGGCGCTTTATCTTATTTTCCCTATCAAGAAAGATATGACGGTTTGCGCACGTGACCATACAGACGCGTATGAAAGAGGTTCAGAAAGGACCCTCACTGTCTACGAGTGTGGTATGTGAGTAAAGCGTAAATCGAAGCACGGTGACGCGACTGAACGTCTAATTTTTTAATTACTCTATCTTTCATTTGTTAGGATAAAGATTTTTCGTTGAACGGATTAATGTAATGCAAATTTATTCAAAAAGTTATTCATGGATGTTTTTTTGGGAAATATTTATTCTTCATTTTTAGTCTACTCGAAAATTTATCTTGAAATTAGATTTTGAGTTTCAATGTAGTTAACCAAAAGCAATCAAAAGAACAATATCTTAATAGTTTTAGCGTTCAGTCACGTATATTAAAGTGCGAGAAACTTGAATAAAATAATAATGTTGTTTTAAATATTAAACGTGTGAAATATTTGTGGTTTATACATTTTGATCGTGAAATCAGGTAACCTGTTATTAACCTGAACATGGTTATTGCCAATCCCTTGTATGCATCGCCAAGAGTTGATATCAGTTTGCGTGTTACGAGCGAATAAAACTCAAAGGCGTCGCTTTTATGATACATACAAAAACCGGACGTTTATGAGCCGCTAAGTAAAAACAAGCCAACCTAAAAGATTTTAGATGTTTCGATCAAATGTGTTTCTTGTTTTTGCTCTGAAACGTTTCGTATTTCGGTAACGAATATATCTTAATTGATATTGTCCTTCCGTTATATAGTAAAAATGATGTCGATAATCTTGTTATCATGTTCATTACTTTATACAAGAAAAGAAATGTTAACGAGCCTGTTTTTTTCGTAACAAGGTAACAGAAATAAGAATAAAAGAAACATAATCAAGTTCATTCTGAATTTACAATCTCAAAATGAGATTCAATAGTTTTTTATAATATAATAAATATTAATAGTCAATGTGATATATGCCTGATAAATGTTTCTCAATTCTACACGACTTACGAGTTTCTGTATCACACTGGGATTTACAAGAAAATGTTTGCTAAAATGAAAGTCTATTATTTTAATATGAGAATAAAAAATAAAAATATATTTACGCAACGGTCAAGTTCTGAATGAAAAATGAATAACTACTTAAGTGTAGTTAATAGTTGAATGGCATAAATCACTTATCAATTAATGTCCTCAAAGAAGTCTGCATGTCATTCTGTTTCTATCACGATGGTATCTGAGTTAATTTAAGAATTTATATCGTAAATAAAACACTTAAAGGAGTGTCCTCCTATAAGTTTCTTGGGATAATGATTGATTCTAGATTCAAATGGGAACATTGCTTCGAAAATATATTACGAAGAAAACTAAATATATTGTTTATGTAATGTCGAAATTAGAAAAATATGGATTTTAAGGCACTATCGACAATGTAAAATGTGCTATTTCAGAGTGTGGCCATTATTGCTTGAGGCGGACCTTATGGTAATGAATTATGTGGTATTAAAAAAATATAGAATAAACTAATTAAAATTCTACTTAAAAAGTCACAGAATTTCCATTTTCTACTATCCATTAAAGAGCATTTTTTTACTGGAAGTCGTAATGGAAAATTTAAACAACTTAGCTGTTGAATATAGTGTTTATACAAAAATAACAATGAATGATCTAAAAATTCCAGTTAAGAAAAAGAAAAAACAAATTGTTAAAAGCTGGATAATGAACAATACAAATAATCTACTAGAAATAAATGTATTGAACACGGCAGAGCTACAAAAATTGACATAAATTTAGATATTCTTATTTTTTAATCTTATTTGTTTTATTTAGGCTTTTTTTACAAGACTTTACTATGTAGTTGTAGCAAAGTTGGTTAATAATAAAAAAAAGTAGAAAGTATATTATGTGTAAATAAATAACTACCAGTAGCAATAGTGACACAAAAGTCATTCAATCTTAATCAATTCACTCGGTAATAAGTATGAAAATTAATTTTGTAAGAATTACTTGCACCATTTGGTTAATGATTAATTCTTATCTTAAAAAATTATCAAAGTATCTTAAGAAAGAATATTTAATGGGAAAAATGAAAACTTTAGTAAACTTAGCTAGCACTTTTCCTGGCACACTAAAATTATACTTATAGTGACAAAAGCTGCTTTATAATAGCACAAAATTCTATTATAGTTGGAAAATATAATAGAGCTAATATAACCGTAGTTTGTCGCTAAAGAATTGATAGTTATTTTGCTTTTATAGTAAAATTTGGCAGATATTCTTTGATATCATAATGAATAAATTCATTTTCTATGTTTTAAAATAACGTCACTGATTACAACTGAATTTAAATTTTAATGATCGTTCGTCCTATGTTATTAAAGCTTAAATTAAAAGTTTTTCAACAAATATTATAAATAACGTAGCATGATAATTTTATACATGTAGAAATTTATATGTAAACGTACAACGCTTATATACTCACGTGATTGTAGGAAAAAATTCAATCAATTCCAACTAAATACGACTGTAAACAGATTGAGAAAAATTTTACAGAAAACTAGTACAGCAATTGGTTATAAGCAGACGGTTGTTAGTATAACGTGGCTCGAGTCTAGCTGATAGTTGGTAGTTTGGTGCTTCTGCACGGAGTCTGACTGAGCTTGCAAGCACGCGACCACTTTATATCCCCCAGAGCGCGCAACGTCATTGCAGCTGTAGTGGTGGCAACCGATGCTCGAAAAGGGGGCGCCGCGCACACACATACACATACACATACACTTACGCACACGTTGACAGGGGCTAAAAGCTTATACAGGTGACCTTTCTTTTACTTAACTTTCATCGTTGTATTATGTACATTATTAAACCTTTGTCCCTTGCACATTTCATTGATTTCTTTTTTTTTCGCTCCTAAATTTAAAAGGAACATACGCATGTCGGCATCTTGCCAATGCTTTCTGTGTCCAATACTTTTCATCTTACTTGTCTTTCGTTTTTTTTTAAACGCGTCACACGATACGTGATACATGTTTATTGAATTTTGTTGCTTACCAAATATTTTAGAAATATTACTAATTTACTGTCGGAAATATATTTCTCTTGTTATTCCAAAATTTAAAATCCGAATAAACACTCGAAAATATGTATTCATACGTCAAATGTGACATATCGATCGAGGTATTCAAGTAGACTTTTTTAAGGCGTACACGTATTGAAATAAGTAGAAGATTATGCCGTGTATGGAAGACACAAATGACAAGCTATAACATGATTACATGCGAGTCTATCGTTCACGTGTGAATTTATACACGTGGAACCGAAAATTAACAGACGGAGGACGCCTAAGGGGAATAATTCGGAAATCGAAGTGAGCGCTCGTATTCAAGTGCGTATTCGTGCTTTTTCCTCTTCGTAACGACATCGGAAGCTCTAACGATTGCAGGATGATTCGGAATTGACTGTGGAAACAAACACATTTTAATTATCTCTATTACAGGGGTAAAAATGATATTGCCAAGTTGATGTCATAATATTTGACTTTCCGTTATCACTGTCAAAAGCGCCTAAATTTTGGAATATTTATGATACTTAACAGACTTATTTTAGAGCACCATTTAAGTGCATAATAAAATTACATTGCTTACATGTTATTTACGAAGTATATTATAGCTAGTTACACCGACAGATTTGTTTACTTTTCGAAGGAATAAAGTTTTGTTAGCTATATTATTTTCCAATGTATCATGAACGCTACATTCGTATAGCTATGAATATTGTCTCATCTAAAAGGAAAACGTGTTAATGATGTCTTCTTATTTTTTCTTTATCGATATTTTTTTCTTTATCTTCATTGTTATGAAAATCTAATAAATTTATTGTGTTCTTGATGTGAGCAACCACATTTTCATTCTGCGTAGATGACGTCAATTCCAACATCTGAGTGAAATCATAGTTTCATCTTCATTGTAAATGGCTATCAAAGAAAGCAATATACTCTGTACGTGAAAGCTTGCTCGCGTATACTTACAATCAAAAAGCTCATCTGACCGTCGACGACTGCTATCTGCACTCTTCTCACTGAGCAAGATTCACGAGGCTTATTACGTATTATTGACTGTCTCTATGGTGGTAGTAGTACTCAAACATGACTAGGATCGAGTATCCCCTTTGTGGAGTATGAAGTTTGCCCTTCGTTGCGTAGCGCAAGTCGCGCTTGTACTCTTAATCACTCGAGTATAAGATAAGCTTTTTTCTCTCATTTCGTTGGCGTACATGCGATCGCTAGCCGTGTTAATTCTTCATAAGTTTTTGTCACTTTTGCACTGCGAATCATGAAAGCGGTGTAATGTTGATAACACATTTCAATCTTGCCGACAATAGACGGAAAAGCTTTGACTTGAGAAAATAAAGCGATAATCGGGTTCAATGATATTTCAGCGAAAATTTAATCAAGCTGTACATGGCTGAGTTGAGTTTACAGCCGGCGCCACACACGTAGCTTATCGATAACGAGATGTGGGTCTTAAATCAAGTGCACATACGTGTTACCTCTAGCTCGCTTTTCTTCCGTCGGATATACGCTCTATTGCGAGCTTGCAACATCCTGCGTTGAGTGGACGTCCTCATACAACTAACATACTCAATTTATATCTCTCTCGCATGGAAATGCAGAGTATATGTATGATCCTACCGCTTTATAGAGTTTGTAAGTATCACGCGAAAATAAAGCCTTGTACATCCAGTTCAGCTTCAGCATTATAGCTACTACCAAAGAAAGTATTCTGGTATCGTGTTTCCATTACAAACTTTATTACGATTAGTTCAATGGTCAACGGATTATCCTTAAGAATATCACATTTTAGTTTATGTGAGTTAAATATGATGAAATCTGTGTACTGAAAGGGACTTTGAAAGCTTCATGAATTAAAGAGTAGCAACTGCGATATAGTCGGATATCTCGTAAAGTAGTGCAGTTTTTTTTATCAAAGTAATCTAATCCTTTAAGAGCGAATGAAGAAAAAGTTTGTATTAACTAGGTTGTCATCCATAGATGCATTAAAGGAGCTAATTCTCTTGCCATTATGGTTTTCAACGCTTAAATTACACGGCTTATAGCCTTCGTAAAACATGTGGTGACAAAGCACCATATAAACTTTCAATCCTTTTTAAGCTAACTTCATCGATCAAGCTCTGTAGCTAAATATTTCACCTTTCACTATGTACATTGTACTAAAACTATAAGTGCTAATTGTACAATCTATGTAATTATTACACGCGCAATAAAAAGATTTCGTTCAATATTCGTTCCATCTCGAAAACTATATAACACAATCCGTACGTGTAATTAGTTTACATCTAAGCAGCATTTATTATGCGAAAAAAGTTATCAGTACCAGAACTATATATTCTACAATGTAAATAAGTAAGGATCTATATAAAGAATGAAACATTTAATATTCTTGTCCCTTCTTTTATCTTGTCTGGTAGCAGCTATCGCCCGGTGAGATTCCTCAACTGAGATCTTGCTCGATACATTAGTAAATCTTCTATCTCTATATTCTTCTTTCTTTTATCATTCGACTATCAACATTATATTTTTTAAATACACGAAGCTCGTAACAACGTTTTTTTCAGATAAGCAATATCTCACGTTAATGCTATATAATTTTTTAATACAATATTTTATTATCAAAAATTAGATTATTAATTTTACCCCACTCAATGTGCCGATCGACATTAACTTCTTTCTGTGAATTTATGTTTGTTGGATTTTTTCAATAACTTTTTCCTCACTCGATAACTTGATCCATGATTGGGTTATGAATCTATGTGAAGTTTTTATATTTTCCTACACTTATTTTTATTACAATTCACTTGTCGTCTAAAGAGCTGCTTCTTCACAATTTTAATATTCAGCACGGATTTCCATAAAAATTCAAACTTGTGTCGAGAAAAACTTACGCGTGCTTGAGTCGTCGAATCGCCGATATGCTCTGTTGAAGCATTTGAAGTTTGAGGTATGGGATGAATAGTATAAATTCTTTTATATTTCAATGTAACTAAAAAAGATTGTAAACACAGTAGAATCGATAACTGAAAATACTAACATTTTTTTTAAGAATACGCTATTTTTTATCGTGTACACACAGTGCACTTTGACGTATATTTTTACGGACAAATTTTTTTTTAAGGGAGATACTTATAAAATCCTTATATACATTTTAGAACTTGCACTAAAAATAAAATATAGAACGAAATGAGTAATAAGTGCAACGTAAGAATACACAATGTGTAATGTATAATATCACGAATATGAGTTGACGAGATTAAAGACGAAGATACGCAAGTATCTGGTGACACTCCTAGAGGTTATTAGGGATAGATGGGTGCAATTAAATTACTTAAATGAGCATTTATAACTTAAATAAATAGGCAAAAGGATATATGTATTTCGATTCAGTATAGTTGTTTCTTCGTAATCAATTGTAAAATGATGTGTAAAGAAATTATTGCTTTATTTACGCAAAACGTAATGGTCTTTAGATATTTTAAATGTAATATTATTGCATAAGACAAAACAAATGAATAAAAAACAAAGAATGAATAAACTGAACAAGTTAATTTCATATACAATTACAAATTTAATAATTCATTTATGAAAATCATTAAATAGATTATTAAATTTCTAATAAACATTGAATTTTCATTCAATCGATTTGGCACGACATTATCAAATAATGGTAGAACATTTAAGCTTGGATTCAAACCCCGCTGAGGTAGGACTTGCGTAATAAAGCTTACCCGGAAAGTAAACTCGATCGGTATTTTTCATGGTAAGTTTTCAGTATCAAAGCTTTCAAGCTTACAAATTTATCGACGAAGGTAAAATTTTTTAGAAGTATTTTGCTAATAATTGGAGATAGAGTTTCCTCGATATTTTTCTTGTAAAATTGTTTAATTTTTTTGAGAGTATAATGTTTTACATAGTGTAAGTTGTATGGTTTTAATATATTAAGAGTCATGAGATGAATTTATGCAAGTACGTAGGACTTCGAGTATTACTCACACAATCTTTAGGAAACATTCGTTCTTCCAGCGAATGATAAATAATACGCGCACGTCGATATTCTAACAATAAATGGTGCAAGATTTTCAAATTATTCATTGTTTAAAGCCATAGAAATCTAGATGCTACTGACATTTTCGAAGCTACTGAACGGTAATGCAGCGCAACATGAAATTTTTGAAATTTTGTTGGGAATACCACGAAGTTTGAAGGTATAAGTGATCCGGACGGAGGAAAGAAAAAGAAAAATATAGTAAAGGACGTAGTTTTTTAATGATATCTCTCACAACGACTTTTCAACGGTGCGATTTATTTTTCTTGGCGAACAATCTTCACCGGCGCAGTAGGTGGCTAAGTGCTACTAGCGTAAGCCTTTAGCAGCTTGGTCGTTTTCAACTTTCCATTAACTCGAGATAAAGTATGTGTGTATACACACACATACACACACATGTTTCGCGAAAGAGAAGGTGAAGGAAAGAGAGAAAGGAAAAAGAGAGAGAGAGAGAGAGAGAGACAGGGAGAGAGAGAGGAAAAAGAGAGAGAGAGACAGGGAGAGTGAGAGAGAAAGCTTTGATTGATTTCCAGTGTCGCGTTAGGGGGGCGTCGTTGGTCGAGTTCATCAAATCGAGTTCCAACGTCCGGGAAAAGCAGCAGCAGCAGCAGCAGCGAGAAATAAAATAAAATTAAATTATCAAGAATTTTATCTTTTTTTTCCTGCACTACTAAATTGGATCAAACTGACGAGCGTCGATGAGTCTTTGCGGTTACGTTGGTGTATTTGCACGTGTCAACAGAATACTCATGCCAACTCAATACGGTCAAATGAAAACTTTAGATCCTTCACACGCAATAAAAATATATATAGCAGGTATCATATCTGCAAACTATTCACAGCCACTCGTGTCAGGCTAAACAAAGTAAAATATACCGTTTAAGTTTTTCACATAAAAATTAATGCGAGAGCTGCATCCCGCTGGGTTTAAGAGCCAATAGCACGTGGAAAAGAATTAAAAGGTTTTCGTCTGGCCATTAAGCTTCGTCATAAAAAAAGTAGTTAACTAAGCGTCCCAATTTTCAGTGGAAATATGATATATTTTTGTGATTTTTGTTTTTGGTTTCAACACCCCGTGTGCAATACGAAATTGACGTGCAATGGTAATTATGACTCCGTATTATTTGTCAAGAATCATCTATTGCGTGTTTGATGATATAATGAAAGCTATATAGAGGATTGTTGATGAAAGGCGATCGCTCGGTCGTAACCACTTGCTTTTCTTAAGTTGAAGCTTCGCTCCAAGCTTGGTTTTCCCGAAGAACCTGTTTTTGTAACAAATGAAAAAAATGATTATTGGATTGTCCTCGGGCGTATTAATCAATTTCTCATATTCCCCTAGCGTAAATTGATGTTTACCCGAGGACGACGTGGGGTGGCTTTTCCTACAGAGTCACATAAACACACGCCTATCCACAAATTTCCATTTTTATTTCCAATGATTACACTCGTTTATCATTTACGTTTTCATTTCAGTTTTAAAAAGACAATCGTACGAGTAGACGTATGTCGGTCTCGTTTATAATAGAAAAACCTGCACATGAAAAAGTATAGATCAATTGCGAAGGCTGACGTAATTGGAATACTTTTAAATATATAGCAATATTATTCGCAGCAACATTTTCTAATATATACATTGAATTTAATTTGTAATGTTTCCTCAATTTATCAATTCAAAAGTTTAAAATGCTAAATTATCATTTTGACTTGAAAAAGAATAAAATTTTTTTAAATAAATTATTATTCATTGTGTGTTCTGCAAGATATATGAGAGAGTTCAGTTCAAATAACTAAAAGAAACGAGAAAGTACGTGAGAAGTGTACCGTCTAAGAATGTATATTGGAGGCTAATTAAGTTTAACTTATTTTTCGTTTTCTCTTAAAAATACTCGATATTAAATCAAACTTGACATCAACATGATATTATTGAAAATTTTACATCTAATGTATTAGTAGATAGCCAGTAACAAAATTGTAAGTAGTAAGATCAACGTTTTGTCAGACAAAAATGTGCAAAACGCGTTTAGTAAATCGCACTTTCACTCCAATCATTCACTCCAACTCTTCACCTTAATAGACATAGTATAAATCCTAATTACTGAATAAATATTGCAAATAGAAACGATTATGGATCATAATTATTGTTCTAGTTTGAACAATATCGATAAAACGTGCTCTGTTAAATTGCTGTATTTTCCAGTTTCGTCAAATTATTATACGTCACAATACTATTCAAGCGTATTGTAAACATTGACGTTAAAGAAGGTGGAGATGAATATTACAGAGCTGAAAGTTAAACTTTAGTGTAAACAAACGCCGCACGCGTATGAATGAACATCAAAGCAGCGATTAGTTGACTGACGTTATTGAGCACATATTACGAGGGGAATTGCAGGAATACAAGTAGCTCAAACGAGCATAGATCTACAAAGGACCTCATGAAGTAAATTGAAATCACTATAGGCAAGGGGTTAAAAGAAAGAGACCGGATTTATCGCGTTAACTGTTAATAAACGTTAAACGTTCGGGAGTTTCAATTACGTAAGATTATATTCTCACGGAAAGAGGGATTGAAAGAACAATGTATGCAAGCGTGCAAGAAAACTGAGAACACGCGTAGCAGCGTCAGTCCTGGGCAAACATACTTCAACGATCCAGTAGAAATTCCCAGCGCAATCTGTACGAGTTTGTAATTGTCAGGTGACTACTGCCTGCGGCTTGACGAAATAACAGGCCAACCTGGTCATTTTGCACCACGGACTTGCCCAACTAATTAGTGAATGCCTTCCTCGTTTTCGTTGGGTCTTGTGTTCGACTTACGTATATAAGACCAAGTTTTCGATTTCAGCGGGGACTCTGTCCGCTCTTACGGCTAAATTATATATTTGGGTGCACTACCATCACCACCAATACACGTATAAAATGTTGTGTAGTTTTTAACACAGATTAAATGAAAAGAAAATTATTAAATTAAATGAATAATCATTAATGCTCTTTAGTGCTGGCGAGGTTTTTCTGACGTCAGTAGATTGCTTACGTAGAATAGCAACCCATATTTTTCTGTTTCGCAAAGTAAAGTAACATTTATCATAATATCCAATCGATCCTAATAATTAATGATTTCATGATGAAGCATACGTGCGCATTATCAAATCGTACTGACGTATATGTTTGGAAAATAAAATAAGCTTTTCTCAAATTTTCTTAACCATTGATCGGAAAGGAAACTATTTGTCTAAATATATTAATTTAATTTGATCTAAAAGAATAATTGTGAGTCACGTACTATCAGATTTTATAACTTGAGAGAATAGTGATGACAGTTGGCTATAGTTTGAATTCCAATAAAATACGATAGATTAATATGGTATTATTCAGAATAAGCTAGTATTTTGAAAACGTATTAATTGACTATTAAGAAATAAGAAAGCAGTAATAACAATAAAATAAATATCTATTAATAGATGAAAATAAGTACAAACTCACATTATGTACAGGTCCATAAATTATGAGTGCACAGCTTTACAAATCATTTTAATTAATTTTTATTTCGATTGGCAGCTTTGTGGTTACTTTCATACTAGTCAATCAAAAATTTATTGCCGTACAGAATGCGGGTGATATACTGTTTCAATTCCAGATTTTATATCTGATTTTACGTTTTATTTCCCATGCATCAATAGAGCACATAAAAGGATCAAGTACATTGTGCGTTTGAATTGGTATAACAATGGAGGCATAACTCTCACGTCATCAATCCGTTGAAAAAGATGCTTTAAATTAAAGCTTGTAAAGTCCAGGTGCCATATAAACTGATTAATTTTTATGTTTAATTCAAGCAAACTAGGTGGCAACTTATTTTATCAACAATTTTAAAAGCTCTCTATAAACAAAATATTTTAAATCTAAGTATGAATAATCAATCAGCGAACGTGTTCAATTAGAAATAATAACAGTGTATGAATAATTCAACAGAATAGAAACCCATTTCGGAATAAAAAACGATATAACGAATACTCGTATAATAGATTTTGAATTTTTCATTTCTTAATATATTTATACAATAGTATAAATGTAATAAATTTTACTAATTTACATTTAACTATTAAAAAGTTCATTTTTGGAGTAACGGAACAAGGATATTTTCGCAAAACAAAAAACTATACAGATGGTGCTCGTCTATCACATACAAAAAGTAGTGCAAATGTGAATGAATTTAATGTCATTGTCTTGTCTATAAACCTTAGTGAGCATTTCGTATATAAATTAATAATCGATTAATAAAGAATTGTATATTTACTGATATTAATTATAAAATATACTATTGTTTGCGTTTTTTATTCATTAGTAGCTTCATTTTCAAAATTACATAATCAGCAGATTTGTAATTCATATATAAATGTTTGTCGAATTAAAGATAAGTCCGTAATTTATTATATTTCGAACGTGCATTAAATGCAATACGCATTTACTTTGAATCAAAATTTCCGCGTAATAAACTACAATTTTCATTCAAAGCATGTAGAAATGGAACTACTACCTATGACCAGATACATGTAGCTCAATTTTTTCCTATTTTCCATGAAATTTAATATCATATATCTAGCATTTGAATATTAGAAAAATGTCAACTACGAAATATAAAAAATAGGTGTTACATAAGAATGTTGCTAGAGTTTCAAAATTTATTGATTTGATGATCAGTAAATTTAGATTTATAAATCATAGAAATTATACTAGAATTGTTTGCTTTTCTCAAAAGAATAATACTTGACGGGGGTTGGCACTCATTCCATTTTATATTTACTTTCTTATTTGTAAGTGTTTTATTGTGGCGAAAAACAATTGAAATGTTTATCCAATGATGTTTTTGATGTAAGATTTCATAATTTCAGTTTAATAATATTTTCTGTAGTCAGAGAGTGTTTGTTTTCATACAAACCAAAATAACTAGACATGTAAAATAATATCAAAAATTTAGAAAAACAGAAAAAGGAATGTGAGCGTCGAGCACTAGGATGCACATTAATTTGGCCAGCAGAAGAACATAGTAAATGTCATCATTATTGTACGAGCGCAAAAAGGTATAACAACGATGATAACGCTCAAGCTTACAAGACTGATGCACGATCTTGAATGATATGTAAGTAAGCCTCCCCGAAAGTTGTCGCTGTTCGCGTGTGCGCGTTGCAGTGGCCGGCGTCGTCGACGCTACCGCCGCTTGCTTTTTTTACCTGTTGCTCGCGACGCGTAGCAGCCACTGTTCGCTGCGCCACGCTCGTCGGCACACCATCATATAAGAGAGATGATCAAATAAGGAAGCGCATGACTCACGAATCATAGAGTGTCAGATAAATTATTGAAAATAAAATTCGCTAGAGAAGTGAAGGAAATTAATTTTTACTTCGTACGTTTCGAAATCATTATCGGCTATCCAACAAAAAAGTATTTTGTTCTTACGTGGGGTGAACGTTACTTGAAAAAGAAGATGTCAATGTCAATTGGTAATAGTGCGTTTTTTCTAATTACCATGACGATGGCGATTCTTTTGTGCACAATATCCGGCTCATTTAGTCACGCGCTTGGCAAAAGGAACATCGGGGCTGCTGAAAATAATGCCGTAGATTATCCAGACTACAAGTTGAAGGTAATAGTACATAATAGTAGGATGACAAAGTAGGTGTCCGTCTACTTGATTTGATTTATTCACTTTGGTATGGATCAACCATCTGATAATTTCATTTGAATAGTCAATTACGTACTACTTAATATACGAATAATTTGCCGAAGTCATTAAAAGCAAATAATAACATGATTACTATTTATTAACTACACAATAAATAGAAACGTATCTGTTAGTCGCTAATGAAAAAATATTTTTACATTTGTAGTAATTAGTTATTATATTGCCCACAATTATACAATATTTGAAGCACATAATTGCGTTTTGTTTTTCTACACGAAGAACAGCGAATGAAATATGTTTGTGTAAAGTAGGCCGATTAATGTAGACAAAGTTTAAGAACCACTGAGTGGAGTATTGCTATAAAGTTAGAAAATAGATGAGATAGCTGGTAAAATGTTAACTTGCATACAATGGAAATAAGCAAACCTCGAGCAATCTTGAAATACAATTTCATCTTAATGGATTTGTGCTTTGCAGCGCATGAAAACTTTGCTTTAAGCAAGAAGTGTTAATTGTATACAAAGACTTTTCTTATCAAAACTTTCTGTGTACTGTTGAGAGCAATTAATTTAAAAAGTAGTTAATGCCAGTATATAAAATTATATATTTCCCTGTTACCCTTAAATTTTTTTAACCAATGTGACATTTCAGATACAAATTAAATATATTCTTTTTAATATTATTTTTATTATTTGAGTTTGAATGAGACATTATCGTGTCATTGTTGACATTAATTTAGTGAAATCATTTAATAATGAAACCGTGAAATATACCATAATTACGTTAAATTATGAAAGACATTGCAGATAATTATAACGGATTAATGGTACTAGATCTAATCCAGATGAATTTCCATTAGAAATGATAGCACTTCTCAAATGCTAAACATTGAGATCATTACTAGATTTTTTCACAATAAAAAATTGTCCAACAAAATTTAAAAAACCTTTTTTTTCCTAATTTTTTCCTACACAAAAGAATTAGTTTGTTTTACTAATTTTCTTTTAAAAATCGTATCTTAAATAGTTTCAAATTTTCTTGAGGAGTAGAATGTTTTGCAACTAAGAAATAATTTACATTTATAAATAATATGAATATCATAAATAATCAGATAACAATATCATTCGATTACCGTTATTCGATTACTCATAATTTCTTATAATTTTCAAAATTCATATTATTACCGTATAGATTGTCTTATAAAAAATTTACAGGCGGCGATCCCTAAAGTTTCATAAATAAAAGTATTCAAATATATCACTACAGTTTGATAAAAAACATATTTATGCGATATCAAGGGAACTTGCCAATTATAGAACTTCTTTAGAGAAAAATTTCCGAAGCAAAAAAGTAATGTTAAAAATATAATTCCGTTTATGTTTTTACACAAGAATGTCTCCATTGATGTTTAAATACACGTAGATCTCATAGGATTTATTAAAGTCCGTATATACCATCGACAGATGCGCATCTTCAAAGTTGCGCGAGATTGCAAATCGTGGAAGTAATTAAGCCTCGCGTGAGTTTGTCGAACGCGCGTACGACTCGTTATTGCTGGCCTTAGCGACTTAAGGAGAGACCCGTACCGCAAATATCTTTAACCAATCGTAACTCGAAGGCTAAACTATTAATAATTTTATGGTACAACTGCTACTGCGTCAATTCCTTCTGACGTATCATTTATCAGTATATCTCGAATTATTAATGTTACCCCTCGGATAAACACATTTTTTCTAACGCGTGTACGTCATCATGCTTATCAGAAAAAGATTTTTCATTGGAAATTAGAAAAAATAATAAAAGCTAATTTATCATAAAATTTATGTAGCATTAACGTGTGATATTGTTTAATTATAACTCCTACACATTTTATTACTTAATTACGACTCTATTACGTTGGAAAATCAAAATTTCACTTTTTGATTATTATCTTATTATTCACTAGCAGAAATGAAATTATTTTTCACTAGCAGAAATGAAAAGGCTCATTTACAATTATTTTTTACTTCAGGTAGCACTTCACGGAACATTGTTATTTAAAAATTTTTATTAAAATCACAAAGAGTATTTGAATATATCCTAGTATTCTAGGAAAATTTTCCGACGTTGCAAAGTTCAACTATTGAATACGAGGTAATATTAAATTGCACAATAAGAATAATTGGGTGCAAATAATGTATTCTGAGATATAGAATTAACTTAAGTACTAGTAATACTCTCAGTCATTGAATATGTTTCGGTATTACACTATGTATTCATACGTAGCTAGTAAAAATTTGCATAGCTCGTATTAGTCGTAGTAATGTGCGTTGGGCTTAACTTCCTTACTTTACCAGACTTAACGCATTTTTTATTTACGTTACACTTTTACGTCGACTCTGTTACTGATCAAAAGATATTTAACCCTCGTGCCTGACGAAATACGTTTAAACATTCAACCAGAGCTGTAAAGGGCGTGTAGTCGTGGGATTTTCGATGACGTCTATTCGCTATATTGGATATTGTCATTTCTCATTGGACATTTAGAAAACTCGAACACCTACACTGCAATGCCTACGATTCTCTGCAATTTTCACACAAATTCAAGTAGACTTGCAATAATTTATATCTATTTAATTGATATCAATAATTCAAAGACGCTATTACTTGTTAATATCATCATCATTTTGTTTGGAAAGTTTCCTAAGTGTGTTTCAAAATATTTAGAATCATTTACTGGTTTGAGTGAACGCTTTTTAATTTAATACTTATACTCTGATCCCAACATTTACCGAAGCAAAAATACATAGAATTAAACTGTACGAAGTACCATATTAGCTCAACAACAAAAAAATGCTCTATTCATCCATACACATTTTCCATTGAAAAATACATTGAACCAATATCGTATGTTAATATAGCTAATAGTGGTCCATTCATATCCCGCAAACGTAAACTTTAACTGTGGAACTTTATTTATTGAGTTACAGTTTGAATTGTACATACCTCACGCAGTAACCTTAACTTTGACTACAGAACAAAATTCACACCTACGGATACGACTGAGGATATTCTTTATTCATGCACACGATGCGGGTTACGTACATTCATTGCATTAAGCCCTGAGTGCTAATATTTATGCTGCTTATCAGAGTTGTATAGAATCTTTATTGTAAAACAACAAAATGAAAAACAATGTGAAAAACAACTAGAAAACATCAACGCAAATCAACAAAATAACTTACGAATTATTATAGCACGAAAGTACTATGGCCAGAACAAATGCGTGTGGTCGACTGATCTTATCATATAATTCAGTCTTATATATTCTGCGTTCAATCTTTAAGTAGACCATTTGGCGTTAAACAGTGGAAATTAAAAGGTTTCTCTACCGTAATAACAAAAAAACCATAATGATAAAATTATCATCATTAACATTTTTTCGTCGTAAATTACCATTTAAGGGCCCTGGAAAGTCTCTTTAACTGTAACACCTTATTTATTCAAAATGTTTGGTTTGCCATGACTGAATGCAAAAAAAAGTTTGGATGTATCATTTTTTTTACTTTAGATCAGTATTCGAGATTAAATGAACAATTTTTCAAATTAGTCAATTTTACTATTTTTAAGCAAACTTTTTTTAAATTTATCCAAAATAAATTCTGAAATAAATTGATACTTACAAACTATTTATTAGAAATATCAAAATTATGGTGTACTAAAAATAGTTCTATTAATTAATATCAATAGAGATTCAAAAATTGTAATAATAAAACTAGCTATCAAGATTCGCTTTGTGAATAAAAAACCTAATTTTTTTAATTCAAAACGATACAAAATGTACAGGCGGAATCAGTTGCAATGACAAAGACAAAAAATTATCAACCAATTTCGTATCGTTTCTTATGCACATTTCCGTTTTTATAATTATACTTCCGCTTTTCAATAATTATAGAAATACGGCCAGATTCACATCTACATTTGACTTGCCGTATTTTACGTTTCTCTCTCGCTCTCTCTCTCTCTCTCTCGCTCTCTCACTCTCTCGCTATCTCTCTCTCGCTCTCTCACTCTCTCGCTCTCTCTCTCACTCTCTCTCCCTCTCTCTCTCTCTCTCTCTCTCTTTCTCTCTCTCTCTCTGTGAATGAGTTTTTTTCCCGTAACTTATACGAGGCACTACAGACATCTAAAACAAAACGATTTTCTATAGGTAACCCTGCGGGAGCGTCGGACACCGATTTATCTCTAAAGTTCAATAACGCTGATTGCTTTGGATAGATAGATATATAGGTACTAACTAAAAATTTTAAATGTGTTTATATGGTTTCTACAAAGAAGTTTGATGTAGAAATCACTCCATTTTCACTTTAATAGAAGTATATTAAGTAGAACTGTTCAAATTAAATTTATAATAACCATAATCAATTAAAATTCATAAAAATCATTTTTAATAAAAAAAATCATCATTGTATTTCTATTGTTGAAATATTTAATGTTTAATACAAGTCGATTGTGTCGTTTTCATTGTAAGTCTAATAATATATTTATTAGTTAAAAAAAGAGGAAGTCATGCTTTTGATAATCAATTGAAATTGAAATTCCAAGAATATTAGTTAGTATTTCCATTCACTACTCAAATATTTGAACAAAATAACAACTCAATGTGTGTGCATTTACGGTACTGCTAACATTTCATAATATTTGCGAGTCTTATTTTTTCTTCGTATATAAATCTTTGAAAAAAGCTCATACAATAGCTCATACAATAAAAATTAATATTTTCTTTTCGAAATATTGAATTGAAATCGATGTAAATAATATTTCAATAATAAATATATTAAATTTGTAGTATCCAATCACTATAACAATAAGCACATATTAAAAGTTATTATTTTCTTTCGAAATGTATTTCGAAATGTTGATATTAGTGCCTATTTCATGTTGTATTAAATGATAACTCAGAATTTTATGTTAATGTTTTTATTTCATATTTAAGAATTGATAAAACTTTGTATAAAATATCTCAGTTGAAGCTACGATCGATCCATTTGAAAAAAGTAATCTTAATGACAAAAAAAATAGTTTAGGACTGTAGTTACTGCAACATATATATTTTTTTTATTTCAGAAACCAATGACTAAAAGAGCAGCGCTTCTACTTGATAGATTACTAGTAGCTCTGCAGAAAGTTGTAGATAACGATGAGTTGGGAAAAGGAGGCGTATCTGGATCGTATGTAAATTCATTGCAAGACTATCCTGATATATCTGATTCGCCAAGAATGCAATTAGGTGATGAAAAAACGGTACTATTAAATATATTAACGACCTATTTATTATTATTAAATTTTTAGTTTTTAAAATTAAAAACAAACCAAATAAAACAAAAATATTACTATTTTTATTCCCAAATTTAAAAAAATAATCAAACAGACTGCATATCAAGATACTTTAATAATCTGTTGTAGATGGATCTCCAACGTCGAGGACAAGCTAAAGGTCGCGTTTATTGGCGCTGTTACTTCAATGCAGTGACGTGTTTCAAAAGAAAGTAATCACCCGTCAGGAACCACTTCAAAAACAACCATTTCTTTGGCAATTATAAATTTCTTTCCTAAATTCCAACAAAATCAAAAACTTGCTGTTACATAATACTTCATATGCGGAAAGTTCATTGACTACTGTTATCTACGTTAACTTAAAGGCATTATTCATTATAATTAATAGACGTTGAATGTTAAATTATAAATTTGAAAAATGATTACACATTTTGGTTTAAAATTTCCAATTATAATACTTGTTCTGATTAGTAGAGATAACGCCGATTCCAAATATATAATTATTTTGTATAAAGTGAATGAATTATATTTAAAGATCTAGAAGTATTAAAACTGTATATTATTAAATACATTATTTTGTTAAATTGAGTTTTTGATTATTTGATTCTATTACTTTAAAAAAATGCGTCATTTCGAAATATCTATGTATCATAATACGCCTCATTTTATAATTTCTAAGTGATAATACATTGAAATTAAAAAAATTAAGGTTGACATAGTAAGTGTAGTTTAATTACAGTGGATTATTGTGGGCATTATTGTCTGAAATTTTTATTGAAAAATTAAGAAAATAAATCTATTTTATGAGCCAGAGTATAAAAATGGAAAATATATCTTTACAAATTTCATTAATTTCCAATAAAACATTTGCTTAAAAAGTTATACTGCATGAACTTAAAAAATTTTGTGATAGTTTATGAATCTTATTATGCATTGTTCTACTTATAAATATAAAATGATAAGGAGAATATATGACTGATAATAATTATGTGCCGTATAACATCTATGTCATATATACTGAAAAAATATTTGAACAGAACAAATTTTAATTCTTGTATAATATTAGCATTGTTTCAGTTAAATATAATATAATTATCAATAAAATTCAATTTCCAAAACCATATATAATTTTTAATCATTAATAGTTTCATAACAATCTGTTGCTTATGATTATATACTTTTATAAGCTTAGTGATAAGCTATAACAATATAATGTTTAATCTACATGTTGCAAAAGAGAAGATTTTATTTATAATTACGTTATATTTACAATTTCAAATCCTTTTTAAACTAACCTTTCGTTTTTAAACTAAAATCAAGCAATAAATAATTTAATAATCCTTTGGATATTTTTGAAAACTGAAAATTAAATTAATTATAAATTATATTTTTAACCCACTTATTGAATTAAAATCTATTTTATTATTCGTTGCATTTTGAATGTTAAATAACTGGTAAAAAAGATTTCTTCATACTGGACCAAATCGAGTATTTCGCATCGAGATCTGTCTGCCTTCAGGTCGTCCACTCTAGTTCGCGCTTTGTATAAGGTCTATTCGCAGTATGGTATGGCTAAATCGAAGCGACCACTAACCAGTTTGAGAATGAATGAAAGCGGCGAACAGACCTTACATGAAGCGGGAGGCAGATGAATGACTTGAAGGCAGTCAGTAAACAATTTCGAAGTGAACTGTTCAATTTGGCACAGCACTAAGGTTAGGACGGTGCCGAGGTGTTTTGTCAATCGGAAATTGGAAACAACTTTATAAAAATTAAAGTTAAAAATCTGTTAAAGTTAAAAAGTTACATAGATTTAATATTTGTTAAGTAGGTAAGTGAAGACTTACTTGCACAGGTTAGTGTATTCTAAGTTTGTTTCATTACGAATTACTTATCCAATTTTGGTTTTCAATTCTAACCTAATAATATAAAAATCTCAAATTTCAACAAAAACTATATTTTAATAATTGCAGTGTGCAAAGATGACTGGATCAGAGGCAATGGTTATGACAGTACCTAGTACAGAAAAAGCAGCAAACAATCCTTTGGAACAATTTGTTTTGCTTGCCAAAAGTGCTAAAGGAGCTGCTGCACTGGAATTAATAAAGCAAGCTGTTGAAACTCCTGGAGTTAATGTATTTGGTGAACTCTTAGATATGCCTAACATCAAAGAGTTGAAAGATGGTCCACATGACAATTATTGGCGCACACTAAATTTATTTGCTTATGGAACATATAAAGAGTACTTGGAAAATAAAAATCAGTTGCTTGACCTAACACCAGCTCAAAAGAAAAAGTTGCAGCATTTAACAATTGTAACATTAGCAACAAAGTCTAAATGCATACCTTACTCTATACTTCTAGAAGAACTTGATATTAAAAACGTTAGAGATTTGGAAGATTTAATAATTGAGGCTATTTATGCTGATATCATTCATGGAAAGTTGGATCAGAAAAATTCTCAGCTGGAAGTAGATTATGCAGGTCTTGGTCGAGATGTAAGATCAGCCGACACTGGTGCTGTTGTTGAAACTCTTGCAGAATGGGGAGAAACTTGTAGTGCTATTTTGGGTTGCATTGAACAACAAGTTGTACGGGCTAATACAGAGAAACAGCATGCAACTCAACACAAAGATAAAATACAACAAGATGTTAGTTTTTTAATTAGTACTATAGTCTAAGCATTAAATTAAATTGTAGTAGTTGGTAAATTTTTTTGTTCATATCCATGCTTGCTCTTTGATAGAAGGAAATACAAGCTGTTTTGTTAAATTTTTGTATTGGTATATTCTTTATATAGCTTATATAGATCTATTTAATTAATTAAAGAATTATTTATATTAACTTAAACAACTTTAATTTAGCCAAATAATCACATGCAATTTAGTAAGTTTATATATGCAAGTGGATAAAACATTTATTTCTTTTCAGATTGCTAATATAAAGAAGACTCTTGCCGTTCAGTCAGGAAGTGGCGTTCAAGAAGCAGATATGATCGCTGGTGGTTCTGGTTCTGGAAATAGCGAACGAGAAGCTTTACCACTTCCCCTAGATGCCAAGAAAAAACAACATAAAGGAAAAGGTATCAGAGGAAGCACCAAGTTTTGGAAAACTTAAATTTGTTTCTGCAGGTACATTTTGATGTTCACGTCAAATAACTAACATTACCGAAAAAATCGTAAAAATATGTATCTTGGTCTGATAACAAAGAATTCTACAGTTCAAAGTTTAAGCTAGACTGTTGATGTGTAAAAACAAGATTACGTAAATGCTTGTTTATGCAGTATTTATCAGTAATGATTAACAAAAATATTTTATACTTGCATTTAGATAATAATGAATGATTTTTATTCTCAGATGTAATACATGTAAATCCCTATAAAAGATTACTCACATGAAAATGAAAAATTTTGTATCATACTACAGCCATGAAAAAAAAATTTTCAATATTAAATCTTTTCTAGGAAATTAAGCACCTTGACATATTGCCTCTGTCAATAAATGCTCTAAGAATTTTTTTTTACTATTAAATAAGAGTTAGTTATATTTAATAAAATTATCTTTGTTTGCCAAAAATGTTAAATATATAATAATTAATTGTAATAGTATATTGAAAGTATTTAAAAAAAATAATAATTAACTTAGTCTTTGTAATGAAATTTTATTCGATAACATAAGGCTCACTAGGTTTTCTTGCAAATATTAAAAGAAAGAATATTATTCTGTTATTTCATTTCTTTTATTTATTAATCACCTTTTTTTAATAAAAACATAATCATCTCACAAACTTAAATTATAATAAAATTTTTCTTATTCAAACATTCATAAAGTTTACTTTTTGCACCTGAACTTCTTGTTAAATTTTTATCAATACTATTTATTGGCATTTTTTATTAATGAACAGTAGATTTTTATGTTTATACTATGTGATAGATAACTTAATTATATTTGTGAGTTTTAAACATTTATTATCTTTAAAAACTTATTTACAATGAGTAAGTTTTTATTTTTACAGTAGTACACGTACAGACAAGTTGATGCCTGAATCAGAAACATTAAAAAATAATAGCGAGTCTTTGTAATTTGATGATTACGTAATTAATATATTAGTTTATGAAAACTTATAGTTTTTATTCCGGCTTAATTTCTAGTATTCAGTTTATATATTTTTTATAAATATCAACTATTATATAATAATTATCACATAACTGTACAAAGATCAAAAAGATTTTATTACAGTAGAGATTGAAAATATATTTACACCTTTTAACTATAACATAATCAGTAACATACAAATATTATAAAATAAATCATGTGATAATTAGGCGTTGAGGATTTGATTCAATATTATTCCTAAACATTAATAGTTTGTTAATTTCATTTCAAGCAGATTAAGAGTATAGTGCTCAAAATTACTCAAAGTCTGCAAACATGGCCCTCGAAATATGGATTTCACAGTATTTTAATTCATTTATGCAAATGCATAATAGTTTACTACAAAAAATAGTACAATAGAATATTTTTTGATTGAATAAAATTATAAATAAATTTGAGTTTTGGCGTGTGATACTTACAAATTTTCTAAATATAACATGTTTCGAATTCAACTAAAGGAATAAATTATTAGGTACAATCAAATTTTAATAAATTCGTTTTAATATTGCGAACACCGAAGTAATCACTCTAATGTAATTTTGTTTATTGAGATATATAATCTAATTTATAGAGAAATAGAAAATCTACGTTGCATTCAGTTTGTAAAAGTATGTACCTGTATTCGTATTTGAAAATCTAATTTTTTTTGCAATTCCTACAGTCTGCAGAGTAGAATCGAAAGTATTGAACGTAGATGTCAAGAGAATCATAAATATTTATTTGATTGATTCCTTGACTGAAAACTTTCGTTTCTACTAATTTATTTTACAGCTACAAGCAAGTAGTTTTAGTTCTACCTAAACTTATGTCAACACATATTAGGCTACTTATTTAACTACTACTATCACATATATAAATTTTATATTACAATTAAGTGAGCGATCGTTTGTATAGCAATTAAAACTGATATCGTTTTTCATATTTCCATAATCAAAGTTCAGAAATGTTCAATGTACATATTTCATTTCACATAAAAATTTTCAATAATAAAGAAATATTTTATTTCTCTGATAATTTCTTTTTTTAATTGATAAATTATATATTTTCTAGAATAATCAGTTTCACCATCAGTTATACTTACATATGACTAATATAGAAAATTTAATAAACAATGCGAGAAGTTCTAATGGAAAATATATTTTATATGCATTCACATATTTTCGAGATATTTACAAATTAAGATTTCATAAATTGTTTTAAAATCTGAGAAAGAAAATTTATTTTTCATTTTTTTATTGAATTAATGGATCTAAAATCATAAGTATACTACAAAAGTAATAAAATTTAACTATGTTAAATTGCATATTTTTCCGATACCCATTATTCAAAATTAGATCGTTTTAGGCCTGTATTGAAACATTGCCATTGAAGTTATCAATTTAGAAATACATTGTTGACCTCCAAATCGTATTTACAAATACTTTCTAATTAATCGTGTCTTTGATGCTGAACCAATTATTTACAATACGAGAAATGGTAAATATTTATAGAAATTTTTTACGCCCTTTGATTTGATTAGCAGATAAAATGTAACACGTATAATCCTCTGAGTCAAACGTCCAGACGTTCAAACTTGTAAAAAATTTAAACAAAGTAAATAGAAATTTCAATCATTTAATTATAAAACTACTATCTTTCATAGAGGAAATCGTAATTTTTAATCTGGTGTATTTTATCTCATCGAAGCTGTATAGTAGATGTAATATACAAACATTTTTATATACATGTTAACTATTCAAGTCTTAGATTTTCAATATAGTGTATTTATCTGTCATTTTTTCTTTTGACTTAAAATTTATTTACACTTAGATGCTAACTGACGTCCTTTCATTTATTACTGTTTATTAGTCACAATTGCTAATTTGTGATAGAATATGAATTTGAGCGATACTTTAAATTACAATGATTTAGAATAGTTCAACAATTTATTGCAATATATTTGCATCTCAGTAAAGCCACTAATTAGACACTTTATTAAAAAATTTTTCCAACTGATGTTTTGATCCTCAACAAAATAAGTTAAGATAAAACAATCGTCTTAATCGATGTTTACTTTTACGTTGCATACTGCTTTCTCTCATTTATGTTAAGAAATATTTTTAATGAAGTGACATTGATATTACTAGCCACTATGTTCTTATAGTTGAACATTATGATAATAATTTCAACTTAAATTTTTTAAATGATCTCAAAAAATATTATGAAATCTTCCGCAAAATCGATCACATTTTAGTTGATTTATATCAGCAAATTAAAAATTCTAATATAGATAAAAAATTATAAATATTGCTTCTCGCCATTATCGAAACTAATACTATAATAGTTTTAGTTGTGAAATGTGAAAAAAGTTGTTTTTTTAAGATTTAAGTTATTTTAAGAATTTATTTACATAGAGATGTTTGTGCGAATATTTTTTGATATTTATGAAATAGTCTTTATGCAGTTTTATATTATTTAAATGCTGTATTGTTTCTCTTTACGTATGTATGACTAGAACGACATATTGGCTTTTGACGACTAACTTATTATATTTATTAAAAAAAATGTCGCGTTACATTCAACTTGCTTCGTATATCAAGGCTATACGTACATCTTCAAGAAAAATGACGTATTTACAGCGAACTTGTTATTTGAACGAACGTGATTTCTATCTATAACATTTATAAAAAAATGTACGTATACGTTTTACATCGAAGCATATAATTTGATGTCGGTATTCTTTTGTTACTTTATTGATAATTTCCGCATTATTATTCAATAGCCTCGCGAACGGATGCATCTTCCTGCTACAAAGTCACGTCAGCTTGGCTTATAGGTCCGTTGCCAATTTTTGAGCTATTCGCTAGTTTTATTGTGCCGTCGGAGGTCTCGTTACTGTCTTTCGGCGACGTCGCCTCCGTTTTATTATTATTATTTTGCGTCTGCGTTGACGCTGTCACCAGCGAAACCTTTCGCTTGCCATTTTGCGACTCCCTCACGGCCAATTCATAATCTGCAAATAACGAGTAACAGCACGTAATTTGACGTCGTTCTTTAAAATGTTTTCCGTTGAAAAATTGTCAGTGGTGATTGAGCAAATTTTTGAATCTTCAGTCGAATCTTTTCAACTGAGAGCTTTTTCACCACCGGTAATTCTTATTTTGAGGATCGCAGTGTTTGGGAGAGAATAAATTACAAAGAAATGAAACTAAAAACTAATTGAATATTGAAAGGAAAGGTCGTGCTATTTAGGCGAGAGCGAATGACAGGAATCCTAGGGGCAGAAAATGAAAGGACGGAAGAGTGGATATATATGCAGAACGGAAACATGAATTCGCTCGTAGGTCAGGAAATATTGAAACTCAACGGGGTGTAATTCGTAGCAGAAATGCAGTGCGTGGAGGGGTGGGCGGCCAACTCACATTCGCTTTGTGTAGAGCAATCCATCGTAATGGTGACATGCCTCTGCACGGTTTTGTTTTGATCGCATGTTACTGCTGTCAGAGTGATTGGCGCCATCATGCTCGACGCATTCGTGCCCGTCACTGCCGAACTCTTTGTCGTGCTATGCCTATTGGGCATCATACTCTGCCGCACATTCCTCTCCGGTCGTATCAAGATGATGTACAGCTGTAACACACGTAGGCATAGATGAGCTCTTTTCGATTTTATTTGCTCTTAGCTTCACTAAAATAAAAACATTTCCCCTTTCTTTTTTCCTCTCTTTTACCGCTTGTGAATGCAGGCGCGAGAGCTTCTCACGTGCACCCACTCGACGACCTCATTGGGCGTGCTATTCTGTCGAACGGTGACTAACAAATACGTCAATGTAGATGTGGTGATATCAGAAGGAACGTTTTCACGAGTGACTCAACCGATGATTACGAAGCTGACACTTTAAATGCCGGCATGAAAAATTCAATGCGTATCGGGCTTTAACATCAAATAGCAATTGGCAACGCAAAAGTTCTATAACTTATATTCTTGGCGGATTTAATGATATTATGTCGCTATTGTTGTTTCAAGTACCAATTTTCACACTCAACACGATATCGAAACTTTATTTGTCACGCCCGATCACCTGAAAAAGTGCCGGGGATGGGGGGAGGGGGGTCAGAGATAGTTACACAGTATAAATAAGCCGGCGAAATAGACGAGGGCTCGTTTGTTGACAAATTACAGGCTAGAATATCAACAAACATTTGAAAAATGAGCATCTCACAGCCATGAATCTCGAGGAATTACGAAAGCTCTCGTCTGGAGAGAAGAGGAAAAAGAGAGAGAGAGAGAGAGAGAGAGAGAGAGAATGCGTATGTGTTTTGCTAAAGCTGGTAATTTACCTTCGGACTGAAGAGGCAGGCGATGGTCACAGAGGCTGAAAGGCTGATAGTCACGGACATGGAGGTAATCCTCAAGGCGACGTGATTGCCCGTACCAAAATAGAGCGGGACAAACGCCAGCCATATGACGCAGGTAGTGTACATCGTAAAACCTGCAAAACAGACGGTCTAAGTGTCGCGAAGTTTACAGCGCAGTCGTTATCTGACTGTATAAGTAGCGTAACCCGATTGCGTCCATACGTCTCCGATTTGCAACTTCGACCGCGAGACAAGGCCGCAAGTAGTTTGATTGAGTTGCACGCGAAGCCGCCGGCGAGGGGCAGAGAGAAAAGATGTGCTTCACTCACCGATGTGCTTACTTTCGTTGAAAGCCTCGGGGATCTTCCTGGTGAGCACCGCGTAAACGGTACAGACGATGATCAGTATGATAGGATAAGAGAAAGCTATCATGTAGCTGGCGTCGATGTAGCTGTTGCAGACGAGCAGGTTGTCGTCGCGCGTCGGATAGTGGTGCATCGCTTTGGCGGGGTCGATGATCATCCAGACGCCGTTGATAAGAACCTGCACGAACATCAGCATCGAGCAGATGATGAGCTGCGAGCGCGGCGATATGAAGGAAGGGCGCTTGGCGCTGTGCTTGCCCGCCCGGAAAATCCTTGCTATCCGGTTGGTCTTTGTCAGCAGCGCGGCGTACACCACCGTGAAGCAGAATCCCGCCGTGAAGCTGCCCCGTGCAAAAGGTAAAAATTTCTGAGTTCGGCCTCTTTTCTCCGCTCCGGTGCTCGTTGTTGTTATCGCTAACGAGCTTCCACCGTTTCACCGGGAAAGAGCATTCTCAGACACGAGCTGAAATTTTAATCAACGCCGGGAAGCTACTAACGCCCCAAGTTTGCTATTTTCTCCCATCTACTTCCGTTCAGTTGCTTTGCGCGGTTATAATCTACTTTGTCGGAAGCTATTGGATTACGCTTCGCTTATTAGCCTTTGGCACGGCTGAAAACGCTGCCGGTTGAGCCTGCTGTAATTTGACAATTCAACGCAGAGATCGAGCGCGCGCGATAAACTTTGGCAATCGCGGCAGGAAGATCCGTTGCAAGCCACCCAAGAATCTCAAATTCAGACAACTTTTTCAATAGTCAACTGCAAGTAAAACTTGCTGGGGAAATTCGAATCATTGGCCAAGTTGGAACGATCCAAGTTTCGAATTGTCAAAACTACTTGTCAGTATTGTCCGCAGGCGTATGACACAATAGTCGAGGGCCGAGTAGCAGCGGCAATAATGAGATCATCGCGGGAGAAAACCGAGTGAAATTAATCGAGTGCAGTTATGAAGCTAAAATATCAATCATGAAAGTTAATTTGCAGTGGAAAGAGGGAAAAAGAGCGGCTGTATTTTCCCAGTAAATAGCGAGGCTACGAGAACGCGCTCGTGAGAGAGAAAAATAGCCACTCACCGCTGTATGCCGCAGACAATATCAGACGGGCGCAGAACAAGCGCGAACGTGACTAAGTAACAAAGGAGTATGCCCGTCAGTAAAACGTAGGATAATTCTCGTCCGGAGGCTCGAACGACCGGCGTGTCGTTGTGCTTGAGAAAGACTCCACCCACGAACAGCGTCACCTGCCAAAGCCATTTCCAGTGCATCAATAATGTTATTCTTCCTCGAGTCGTGCCTCGAGGACCGCCGTCAATATCAAGAGAGCAGTCTGCCATACCAGTATGCCGATGGACGAGAACGACATCGCGCCGATCGCCCAGCCACTCTCCAATTTGAGGAACTCTTCCGGTATGTCACGGCAGAATGAATGCGTCTCGTCGGGGGTCGCTCCTTCGGGACAGTCGATGCACTGCGTCTCGTCGTCCGGATTTCGAATCTGTAATCCAGTTTCAAATTACACACTCCCGCATATTACTCCCCATTCCGCGTATGCTCTCATTTTCTTTTGGCTCCATGTCGGCTCGTTTTCATTACGCCCGAACATTCTCATCGGATTAAAAGTTAATTTCACCGCGGTATTTGAATTACAGCCATTTCATTTTCCGTTTTTCGGATTGAGATCCGCGCGCTCGCCAAGTTTCAACTTGTTTCCAAATTGACTGCTCGTGTTGCAAATTTTTTTTCTTTCAATTGGAAAAAGTAGGTTTCATGCGCGCCACAATGCGTGGAAAACAAGACCGAAAAAATAGGTCGAGCTAAGGTCGTAAAGTGAATTTTGCAGCGAGAAAGAAAAGCAGCGGCGTCCTAGCTTAAATCCTCTAGAGGTACTCTTGATCAGAGATGATTTGGTAGAAAAGCCTCTCGGCGGTGGAACAATTTCGCTAGGCTGCGCCGCTGATAATGAAGCTCCTTAAAGGAAAAGCCAGCCGAGCAACAAAAAAAAAAAAACTGAGTGAGCGAAAAAGAGTTTGTTCGTTTTCGCGAAGGCATTAGAAACTCACAGAAGGAGGCTCGATACACTAGAGTCGAAAGCACTGTATGTCTCTCAAACTGACCTGATAGTGGGTACAATTGAAGCAGTGCCAACAGCAACTCTCACCCTCGACGTATTTCTTCGCTTGGCCAAGCTCGCAGGGCAACGAGCAAACGCTCTCTGGTGGCGCCGCGTGCTCCAAACGGAATTGCACTTCTGTTTAAACCCCAACCAGAGTAAAACTACTTTAGAAATGCCGTCTCTTTCTTTCTCTCTCTCTCTCTCCCTGCCACAACTGCTAAGTGGACATTCTATTGTTTTCGGCGCCGAGACTAACTTCGAGTGTGCTTCCGCTAACGTTACTAGTTTATCGCTATATCTATCATGAAATACTACATCGACACTCCTGATTGGTTATTTATTAATAGAGGCGGCATGTCATTCAAGCCTTTTGACTTATACACACAGTCGCAATAAATACGATCGAGCTTTTTCTCTCTTTTCGAGAAAGCACTCTCGCAGTTCAGTTAATTGGCCGCCCAGTATCCATGCGGTAATCGGCTTACCTGTCATATTGAGATGAAGAGTTCCTTCCAAATACATGCCCACTCTAATCCAGCGATATTGTCCAGCCGAGGTTTGTTTGAAATGAATGATATTGTATCTAGCTGGTCCATCGCCATTACTATCGAACTTGAATTTATCACCGCTGAGACCTGAAATATTTTACGAATCTCGCATCAAACCTTATGGTTGGCTATATTTTTGCAGATTTCTTTGCTGCTTCTCTTTTTACTCGCGTTAAAACGGCGAATTATTCATATATACACACGCCAAGTAAAATACTGCTTTATAATTCTCACCTACAAATTCTACTTTACGCAGGTATTTCAGGAGCTCCTCGCCCTTCGTTGGCTTCATTTCGTCGCATAATCCCGGCTTACCGTGGCACAGATCTCGATGCATATCACTGCAAAATTTCAAACGATTAGCATTCACGCAGAAAAGAACAACATTGTCAACGCATTAATTGCTCTGATTTTCTCACCGAAACGCATAGGCGAACGCCATAACAGCGTCCGATACGAACTGCAGTTGATTTTCAAACGCCATTTCACCTTTGTTCAAGCGCTCTTTGGTCGTGCAAAAATTATCGTATTTACTATTGTACGGAGTTAACGATGAGTTAGGATAGCGGCATTTGAAGTGATCCTCCCAAAACTCTGTAATTACCAGTTATTTATGCTAGTTACATATACCAGTACGGTTATCTAGTATATGTGCGTGGCGTGCGAGGATTTCAGTTGCAAATAAATGCAGCGCTACTACGCATGAGTTTGCAGCGAAACTATGTAAATTAGTCAAGAAAATAAGAAATTCAATTTTTTGCTTCCGGAAATTTGATTGAATAAAACACCTTATTTTATATATACATAAATTAAAGATGCAAATGAAAGCGCGAGAAAGTTGGAGAATGCTAAAGAGAACAACACTGTGGTATATGTGTAAGTGTGCACGTTTTCTAGTCTTTGACGTGGAGTCGTGACCTGGCGGAATATTCTATTTTTTTTTCTCACTTACTTTCAAGCTTCTTACACAAATGCAGGAATAGAAAAGTCACGTGCACATTTGTTTGAGATATTGAGAGTGAGTGAAATAGAGAAAGGAAGAGAGAGAGAGAGATAGAAAGAGAGGAAGGGGCGTAAGGAAGGGATATTTGAAACATCATTATCGTCGCATAAAAGCGTCAACCGGAAATCGGGTTACATCGATGCGCTGTTGCGCATGCAAAAATATATTTTCAGGAGAATATACGCGACGACGAATGAATAGATAGGAGAGAATCACTAATGCAAATTTTTTATTCCTGCCTGGGAACTGACTCGTCTACTTTTGCATTTATAACGTCTTTGCTCAATGTCTAGCTACATGGTTTGAGTAATGTTCGCTCATGGTACACTAATTCTCGTGACATTAACTTTGATGTCAAAATTGATGCCAGCTAGATTATCAGACACATTTAAAGTCAGTTCAAATTCGATAAAACGAAAATGTAACATATTAGTGCACGTCAACATAGGAAATTTACTATGCGCTAAAGAAATGTTTCTGTACCTCAGTGAGGTTTACAGAATAACCTAATTAGAGTAATAGATCCAATTCTGTACTTCAACGTACATTTACTTAATGAACACTTAGATTCACTTATTAATGTAAAGAATAAAGAGATAAACGCATACACACGGTATAGTAATATTGCATGCAAAAAAAGCCTTAACACGACTTTGCTTTTCTTTTCATAAAAATATGGAAATGGAAGTTCTTTTGTGACGCGCAATCATAGCTCTATCGTATTCCTTGAAAATGCGACCAGAAAGAAATTTACAGGCAGCGAGACGGCGAAATTAGTAGTACTGTTTTTCGTTTCACGAGAACAATAAGAAAGAGAAGGTAAAAGAAGGAGATAATCCGAGGCTAAGAAAAGTTAATAAACCATCGTACCGATGACGGGAACTGTCTGTACAAGATATTAATTAAGGTCAATTCTAATTATACGCTTCTCACGCAATGACACTTTTAATTAAAACTAAAAGCTTCTAAAATAACGCCGACGTTTGTTCATAGTATTGATATTAAAATTTGTTTTTTTCTATTGAATAAACAATCGATATTGAATTTGTGCTATTTTTAATTAGGTTATATTCAATCATATCTTAATATTATATCGACATTCCTAAAATTCCAGTTAAAAGCAAACAGAACCAAAGAAAAGGACGAAAGACAAAAAAGTAGCTGCAGAGCTGCAGACAGACACGTTGAACTAGACATGAAAAATCACTATGAGGTCTATGCATAAAGGTCGAGTCGAAAAAGTGAGTAGTGTGAAGAAGAATGGGAGACAAAAGGGGACGTACGGGCAAAAACAAGACATCAGTCACTCACCGACAAACCAAGGATTCCTCTTATTGTTCTCCACGGTGAGATTCAAGAAGTAGTCTTCGAAGCCCTCTACAGGATTCGCCTGCGGTTGAACAGACAAAGTACCCTCAACTTCAGCCTCGTTACCGTCACTGACCAAACCACGAGCGCTCCAGCCATCGCTGCCAATCCATGAGAATGCGCCTGTGGCGTTGTTACGACGTACCGCTCTCATCAAACCTGCCACTTCTTGGTCCGAACCGTAGATTATGCAACCTGCAAAAATCACTTGATATTCCCTTAGCTAACGTTTGCGCGCGCGTTCATACACACGCGCGCGCACACATACACACACGCAAGCAGCTAACTCAGGTTAACTTATAAGCGCCAACAAAGTTTGCATCATTTTTATGACCTAGCGAGCTCTCTGAGCTGCAAGCAAACTTGTACGGTGCTTATAACTTCCAGCTCAGATTTTTACCTTTTAACTTTGCCTCCCCTCCTCTTCCCCTGAGACTTGTGCCCGAGCCGAGATCTTTTCGAACCCTGGCACTTTTTAATGAAACTGGTTTTTACTGTTTTTTTTTCAGCTTACACTTTATCTTGAGCTTCGAATTATTTTTCAGTACGATACATCAAGACAATAGTTGTAGAGCAAGATTTTTTTTCAATTAATTACAAGTGATTTTATTTTTTACGATAAGTGATTTTATCGTTTACTTTCTATAAAGAAATAATGAAGGTTTTAATCTGCGAGTGACCTATTTAGAGATGGATAGTACGAAGTTATAAGGTCGCGTATTCTCAGAGTTTTTCAGTTGGCTTTGGTATTCAAATAATCTTGATAACACTTAGTGACTCACAAATCCAAGCTTGGAAAACATTCAAGAGAAAATAATAGTTCTTTATGTTTGCTCTTTAATTCATGTCGCATAGCGTTGATTTCTTTTTAAATCCATATAGCTCTAATTCTATTTTCACATCTTATAATGTAGAAATATGAACCAGAAATTTATTTTCTTTATAGTAATACAGCGTGGAATTGTGACTAATGAAAAACTTTCAAGTATTTTAACTGAGATACATGCACATCAAATAATGAGTTTGCATTGCTTTTTATAGTTACATTATTTACAAACCACTTTGACGACTGCTCGACAATTTTTATGAGCTTAAAATAGGCAGTTATGGGAAGTCAATTTGGAATTGTTAAAGATTAAAGTCTACATCAAGTCTTTGCGTCTAAGGTGCATCCATACCTCTAGCGCGTCGTTTCGTTAACAGCCTTTGCACAATGGCATCATAACCGCTCTCCTCTGCGACACCTGAATCTTTCACTAGCTTTTCCTTTACAGCAATGCATATTTCATTCTTCGCAAGCAAACTTTCTAGTTCCTCGAACGCCTGAAACAAAGAGTTTCTTCGGTGGAAAACTTCATTTCTATTATTTTTATTAACTACTTTAATGAAGATAAATTATCACATCACTTGAAGCATATGACTAGTGTCAGGTATAAAATTTATTTAATCCTCAAAAAGATTTTCATGCATATTATATATAACGTTCGTTATATTTTACTTCAGTATTAACTTATTACAATTTAAAAATTTTTTATCATATTTATGTATTGACAATAACTTATGGCATCAGCGTCTTTTTCAATTTCTCTTTGAAGAAATTCTTGATTTTTCTTAAATTGTTCAGTGAATAGTCTGAGACTGACTCGTACAAATTACGCTAGTAAGTTGTCTTGTATATTTCAAATAAAAATAATGTAGTAAACTAGTTTATAAAGGAAAATATTAGCTTAATTTCGGCCAATTTCAAAGCAAATGTTTTTTTTTTTCAAAATAAAGAACGAAATTTTGAAACTTTTTTGTAAATTTATTCTTTTGACACGCCAGTAAACAAATTTACTTGCAGTATACCAGCTTTGCACAGCTTTGATGTTAAGGGAAAATATAAAATCGATAGCCTGATTATTTTTTCACAAAACAACGTCGGTTCATTATGAATGCCATAGTACTTAGAAATAACTGATAAGAGACTGATAAACTATTTGATTTAAACCTACCTTAACACCATAATTACTCTCTTCATAAACAACTGATACATAAGTCCAATTCATCTGCTTTATAATTTCAACCATCGCTTTGACCTGGTACAAGTCACTAGGAATAGTCCGAGTAAAGTATTCAAATCGTTGCTTGTTAGATAACTCCGGGCTGGTCGAAAAGAAAGAAACCTATAACATAAGAAAGGCATGAATTATTCGAATCATTAAAAAGTTTTTTCCTTAGTTAAGATGTTTATTGGTCAATAAAGTTCGAAAAGAAATATATCTAAAGAAAAGATACACTCTGAATGGAAACTTTTTACTATAAGAAATTCGCAGAGAAAATTAAAGGGATTTGTTGAAAGGATGGTGCAGTATGAAGAACACGATATCAAGTCTGAGAGACTCAGGACTATATCGTGGCAGACCGTTTTACAATTACGAAGCAATCTTTCTGTAACTTAATTCTCCTGTATCGGTGGCGGTAGTGATACAATTATCCGCTAGTTGGTTGACATCAGATGCTCCAACTATCATCCACTACGAGTGGAATTCAAGTGCTGCATTTATTTCTTTTCAATAATCTATATATCAAAATATTAAAATACAATAAAATAAATGTCGATATTGGTATCGTCATTAAATTTCACGAATCGCTATAAAACATTCATATAATTTTAACACTGAAAAATCATATCAAACTTTTGATTTATCGGTGATGTGCATATTTACGCCTATATCTATTTAGTTTATTAATTATCCATATGTACATATACATATGTTAATTTATTAATTTTTTTTTATAAAAAATACATGCATATGTATATATTTGCATAAAGATGCTGTATAGTATTTTGAAAAAAATATTTCGAGCAACATTAGATAGGCTGAATTGCGGCGACTCTCATTGGGAAAGTTCAAGTGAATATATGTTACGAGTTTCATCCAAATTTTAAGTCTGCTCTATAGGTACACCTTACTCATGAAAAGAAGTTTGCAATATTTGGCGAGCTATATCGTTCGCTACTTCACGATTTCTGATTATTTCAGCTCATAATTTTAGAATATACGTCTTCGACAAAATGTGAAGTATCGATGTTTCGAAGTATTCAAATCCGAGGAGACAGTGCCTGAGTCAGGTCAAAATCGTAATGTTATTATGAAGTCTACGAAAACAGTGATACACGTATTTCTTATTCCTATTCTTATCTTAAGAAAATGACGAGTCGCCGAGATCTAGCATTGTATTTGGTTGATATTACGAAAGAGCACGAAAATAAAAATTTTTGTATACTTTGAAATATTTGTATTATATATCTAAGAGTGCAAAATTTATATTGCAGCCATAAATTCAATTTATGGATATTATGAAAATTATGAATTAATATGGATAATAATCTGCAAAAATGGAAATATGCCGTTAATAAATCGTTTTAACAAAATAAGAAATTATCATTTAAAATTGTGCTAAAATAATTGATATGAATCGATAATTTCATTACAATCTGTGAAACGAAAAGTGTCGTTTTCAAAGATAATTGGATGTGAGAAAAAATGAATACAATAAAATGGAGGAAGTTAAATTTTAAGTTTTTTACATTGTAAAGTGAGAAGTATGCAGGAAACGGAATCTAATTATCGGAATATTAAATTTGAAGAATGTTCACGCATATATTCAACAAGGAAACTATAAAACAATTGATGATGAAATGTATTATTAATAGTCATATAATACTGAAGTTGTAAAAAACCACTATTATTAAGTAAAGTTATGATTATATGATAAAAATAATAGAAAAATAACAGAAAAATAACAAAAGAGTACATAAAGCGCACGAAAGACCACCAGCGTACATAAAATTTTCAAAGAAGAAATATTCTTATTAATCTAATGTGTAAAAGAACTTTTTGCATAAATAGTCAATCATGGGTTTATAAGATGTTATATTTATGAAGACTGCATTTTATAAATTAAATGAAAATATTAATTTTATTTTTCAAACTTTAACAGTTAAAAATGATAAGTAAAATAATTTAGTGATTAAAGAAAGCCGGAATTCTTAATATTACTTTTTATTTAAAATTAAAAATTTTTGTCTCAAATTGTATGTTGACGAATATGTTTATTCATGTGAATAATGAAAGGATATAAAAATAAATCAACATACAATAACACGATCACCAGCATAGAATTCAAAACATAACATAAAAGAATAGCAAATTGATGCAATTCTTTTGTTCGCATCGACTTTACAGTGAACACGAAAGACAGGCAATCAATTTATGTAGCGAAAAATGACTTCTAGATAGTGTGTCAATTGTTTGTTATTTTCCTGCCCTTAATATAGTTCGTGATTATATGTCGTGTTATTTTTTTAAAATCTTTTCAGTTTTTCTAGATAGTTGAATAAAATTTATAAATCGTCATCGTAAAAATTTCCCTTCTATCGAAAGCAGCGTGAATTTCATGTAATGAAATTTTTTCGGACACGGTACGTAAATTTTATTCAATCGTTTAGAAAAATTGTGAGAAGATCCGTAAAGTTTACCCTGATATCGAGGAAAAGTTCCCGTACTTTTCCATGATCCCAGCGTTGTTGTTCCGCATTGTAATTTTTACAATGACTATCAGCAAAAATATTATAAGAAATGTCTTGAGTATCAAATATCTTTTGTCGTTCACTTTTGGTTACACCGCGTGTTAAAATATGATTAAATTTGTAATCTTGTGTTTTTCATAATTTGATTAAGAAATTGTTTTTATTTTTATTTCAAATTCATTATCACGTCAGCAATGAATTATTTAAGATAAACCATATAGCCATATGTGAGCTGTAGCTGTAGGTAATAATCTCCAGATGTAACGGAGATAGTGAAGTATCAAATAAAAGCGAGAACGAGGTAGGAGTATCTTTTACTTATGATTGTAAAATTGAATTACATTCGACAGCCAAGGCTCTCTCACTTTACATTGGAAAAGAGGAATTATACTGTATTATACCGATTGAAAGTGCTCTGGTGGGCAAGTAGTACGAACGTATATCCTGGCAGGCATATAATGTACTACAGACGTATAATGGTGCAGCGCTTACTCATATCTTCGATTCAATGGGTTGGACATTAAAAGAAAAACTCGTCTTTAAAGGTGAATGAGATTGTCTGACTTCTCATTTTCTACAGTGCGGGAGAAAGTTTTATTGCGATATAGAACAGAAGGAAATTGTTTCTTGCGGCAAACGTGAAAGAAAGTCAATGCCCCGACAAAAGCGTTGAATAAATATAATTTTTGATGAATCCCTCGAGAGATTTTACTTTTCACCTTTTCCATTTCACTTTTTATTTCGGGAGATCAATCTGTCAAGCTTATTTAAAGTACCGTTTTTAATCCTAATGTAAGAATGAAATCTAATCTTAGAAATTATACAACAGCTTGCGAATCTTCGATCATATTTTAACTATACCTTTATTTTTTTCTCTCTAAACTTTTATCTCCTAACAGATATACAGTATATTAAGAAAAAATTAAAGATATGTAAATCTTTGCCCTCAAGTAGAAAATAACACTGAGTTTGAATTGACTTTTAAACGTTTCCAGTGAATGAAGAAACTTCAGGAAGATTGGATCCTTATAAAATAAAAATATACAGGTTGCTTTGAAGAAAAAATCACCCAGAGCGTAATTCTTCACTGTATCGTTCAACATATATTGTGATTTTAGTGAACAACATTTACATTTTACGAAAATTATTATTTAATTATTATTTCTCGTATGGTTTATCTATTTTTTCAGTAATATAGTGGAAATCTTACATGATAAAGTTTGACAAATGTTTGAAATAGAATAGTCCTTAAAATAACTTTTGTTCTCAATCTTGTTTTAGTTAATTATTAAATATATTATTTAGCATGAAAAATATATCTGAGCTGTCTCAAAATAATTCTTAGCCAAGTCAGTTTGAACTTACTCTCATTCAAAATTGAATGAACTAATCGATATCATCAGTCGATATAGTAAGAAAATCCTCTTTCTTATAAGGAATGTAAATTGGAGTAATCACACGGAATAGGGGACATAACTGTTAATTGAGAATGAAAACGCGTTGTCGTCCTTATGCTAAGGAAACGGTAATCGATGCATTTAACATAAAATTCGCGAGCCATTGAACATTGAATGGAAGCTATGGATGCACAACGGCATCGATGAAAGAGCAAGTAACGATCAACGACGATAAGGTATCGAGTCGACAACTAAGCCGTTTAAGGAAATGGCCACTTAAATTTGCTCCCTCCCTTTCCCCTTGACCCCTATCCAATGATCGCACACCGATTTATCCTAGCTGATACTTTCTTTCAAATGGGACATTTGCAATTACATTGGCAAGTAGCTACTCTGACGCGACTTCGCGACTTCCAACTTTAATCAGATACTCTTGCGTACCCCTCTGAGTTTATCTTTAACTGTTAGGCCCCTGAACGTCTTTCTTTTCTTTATCGTTAGCAACGAAGCGTCTTTGAAACTTTCAAGTTCAGACAACTACAGTTTTTTTTGAATACTACTTCATTTCAATTTCAATACATAAATTCACATGTACATTAACGAGAGAGTGAGTTACAGATGAAAAAGTCTATTTTATAACTTTTTATTTAAAAAAAAATAAATATATACAAAACTTTTATAAGCTTCTAAGTTATAAAATAAATAGAAAACTGTCGTAAGCTTTTAAGCTAATAAAAGCTTTGTACTTTTTATACGTTATTAAAAAAATCTGAGTATTGCAAATATACGTATCAATAAATAATACTACGCTATATCAGATTGGAATCATACTGTTGTTTTATTGTTTTTTTTGAGTTATGCGAAAGCTGAAATATTCATTTACTCTCTGCAAGCTTTTATTTTAGTGGTGTTAATAGAAAAAAAAATATTTGAGTTTTAATCTGTCTGAAAATATAAACATACGTATCCGTGTAGAAATTTCTGTGACGTAAATATAGAGCGCATCACACAATAATACGTGCTCAGTCGCAAGGACCTGTGACAACTGATTTCGCGGGAGAAAATTGAAATATGAAGGGGATCGCCCGATCAGACGCGGACAGATTAAGGTTTGAAATAAAAAATAGATAAATAAATAAAAGAAAAGAAGGGTTGAGTGGATGAGGAAAAAGGTGAGCGGGTTAGAGAATCC